GAAGGGGCCGGAGCCATAGCACAGCAGGGAGGGCGTTTGCCTTGCATGCAGCCAACCCGGGTTCGATTCCCAGCATCCCATGTGGTCCCCTGAGCACCGCCAGGGGTAATTCCTGAGTGCAGAGCCACGAGTAGCCCCTGTGCGTCACCAGGTGTGACCCAAAAAGCAAAAAAAAAAAAACACATGAGAATGAGAAGATTTTGGGGGACTTAGCTTAAATTTCTAAAGACTGCATGTGTGTGTGTATGTCTGCGTGTGTTTGCATGTGTGTGCGTTTGTGTGCATGTGATTGTGCACATGTGTGTGTACGTGCCTGTGTGTGCGTGTGTGTGCATGAGTGTGTGTCACTTCGATTGTGATACGTGGCAGGAGGGTCCCGCGTGTGCCTGGCCATGGTGTCCCTCCCGCAGTCGCTCATCAGGTGGTGCTGCCGGCCCCTCGCCCCGGTGCTGGCCAGTGGCTGGGCCCCTTCGTGGGGTGCTCGCTTGTGGTCCGGCCGTCATGCAGCTGGGGGCCCTGGGTCTCACACAGTGCTCACCGAGGGCCACACTCCCGGCTCGGTGCTCACACAGCTCTTCAGTTTTGTTGCTCACGGCAGGTTTCACACTTTTCGCATAGTGCCTGCACACAGCCGGCCGAGCCCTCGTGGCATTGGGGTCTGAGACCCCCACTTGCACCCATGTGGGTTGGGCCGGGCGTGGTCCCACAGCCTCGGGCTTGCAAGCCCCCGCCGGCCCTTGCCACTCTGTGCAGTCTCAGGCCTTATCGCCACATCGCTCAGTCCACGCATTGACAAAGAACCAGCTGCCCCGTGAAACGACAAGCTAACGAGGACTCGTTCCCACCAGGTCCGCATGGAAGGAGAGGGTTGCTTCACTGGGCTGCGTCCCCTCAGAAACCCCCTCAGCTCACTGTGTCTGCAGTGTACCGCTGTCCATGCTCAGGTACCGGCAAAGACGGGCCAGACACATGGCACAGCGGGGAGGGTCTGCCTGGGACACAGCTGACCTAGGGTGGATCCCCGGCATCACACGGGGTCCCCTGAGCACCGCCAGGAGTGACCCCTGAGCGCAGAGCCAGGAGCAAGCTCTGAGCACTGCCGGGTGTGCACCCCACCCCCAAAAAAGAAAACAAATAGTATTGATAGTTTTCTTCCTTTTTTTTTTTTTGGTTGTTGTTATTGTTACTAGTTTGGGGAGCCACACCTGGCAGTGCTCAAGGTTGGCTGAGCACTCCTGATTCTGTGCTCAGGGCTTACTCGTACCGGTACTGCAGGTCCAGTGGTGCCAGGAATTGATCCCAGCCTTCCAAAACACACACACACACACACACACACACACACACACACACAGCTTGCACTCAGACCACTGAGCCATCTCCTTGGCCCCCAGTGTTGCTATTTCCCAGTATTTTTTTATGTTTTGTTTGTTTGTTTTTACTTTTTTTTTTGAGTCACATGTGGTGATGCTCAGGTGTTTCTCCTGGCTCTGCACTCAGGAATCACTCCTCGAGGTGCTTGGGGGACCCTATGGGATGCTGGGGATTGAACTTGGGTCAGCCGCATGCAAGGCTAACACCCTTCCCACTGTACTGTCACTCCGGCCCCTCCAATATTTGTTGAACTTTTGCCTAATAAAATAAGACCTGGGGGAGAAAAGATGTTTGTACTGTACAAAACCACAGAATGCATAAAGACAGGTGTGGTTATTATAACCATCTGACTAGAAAGTCAACAGGAAGACTGCGGGGGGGGGGGGGGGCGGGGAGCAACAACAGGAAGCCGATAATATCCTTAATTGTCTTATACTCCAAACTAACGGTTCGGAAATCCTGCTGGGGAAGATGGTGTCATATTGACAACGGCAACAGAACAGGATGTAGAAGCTATCCGGGAATAGGGAGACTCATCCATTGGCCAGCTTCACAAATCCACAAGTAAATCTCGAAAGAGATGCATGCCAAGCTGCCGAAGTTCACAGGTTGAAAACCGAATTTAGCTGAAACCTCCAGGTGCCCTCGGGGGAGGGGAGGGAAAGCCGCCACACCTGATCTCTGCAGAGACGCCAGACTGATGATGGGAAATTGGAGGTGCCTTCGTCTTCACGCAGTGGGGGCTACAGAGATAGCACAGTGAGCAGGGCATTTGCCTTGCACGCAGCCGGCCCGGGTTCGATCCCTGGCATCCCATAGGGTCCCTCAGGAATTACTCACCAGGAGTCACCTGCACGGCAAAGCCTGGCAAGCTCCCCGTGACATATTCGATATGCCAATTACTCACCAGGAGTGATTTCTGGTGAGTGCCGAGTCAGGAGTAAGCCCCGAGCACCGCCGGGTGTGACCCCAGAAAACAAACAAAAAATAATAATAGTAAAATAAAATCCCAGCTTAGTATATTTGGACCTAGATAAACCGATCCCCAAATTTAATTTTGGGAGGGGAGGTGGAGGGGGAAAAGTCAGAGGAACCAAACCAGTTTTTCAACTCATCGGTAAGACTTGACTATCAACTAGGAAACATACATCAATCATAGTCACGAGAGAAATCCCAGCCGCGTGTAAGGCTCGTTCTAAGAGATCAGTGTCTTGTGGGAGTCGGGTCATAAGTGGGGACCTCGGTTCCAGGCTCCTGTGCGGGTTTCTTTAGGTGGCTCGGAGCTCTGGTGCGTTTACTCCGCCTGGCTTTGGCTGCAGACGCTTGACAGGACGGCATCAGACCTCGGCACGGAGGCCGCCCGTTCTCCGGGGCCTTCTTTATGACTGTGTGCTTCAGCCTTGTTTGTAGCCGTCGGGGGGAGGGCCGGTGCCTCGTTTCCAGGGACTGCAAGGCCTGGTCACTGCAGACACCAGAACAGGGCTGGATGGGGCAGTCGCCTTTGGGGGGGCTGGTGACCCCACGGAAGTTTCTGAGCGAGCAGTTGCACTCGCCCGTCTGGCTCGGCCTGGGGCCCGGGAAGTGGTCATCATCCCTCGCCCGCAGTTCCTCTCCGGCAGGCAGCCCTCGGCTGGCCGCACCCCTGCCACTGCCCCGGGACTGGCGTCCAGACACTGAAGGGATCAGATCTGTCCTTGTCCGCCACATCTGGGGGTGGTTCTCTAGGGATGAAGAGTCTGGGTTGGTCTGTTCCCGTCACTCAACCAAGTGCCTTGGGCCAGGGAATCTCCACTCATCAATTCAGTCCTATAACTTTAATTTTTTATTATTATTATTATCAGAGTGTGGGCTGGAGCAACAGCACAGCAGTAGGGCATTTGCCTTGCACACAGCGGCCCGGCCAAGCTGGGTTTGATTCCTCCGCCCCTCTCGGAGAGCCCGGCAAGCTACCGAGAGTATCTCGCCCACATGGCAAAGCCTGGCAAGCTACCCGTGATGTGTTCGATATGCCAAACACAGTAACAACAAGTCTCATGATGGAGACGTTACTGGGCCCGCGCGAGCAAATCGATGAACAACGGGAGGACCGTGCTACAGTGCTATTATCAGAGTGAAGGCAATATGATGTATGATGCAACAGCATCTGGTATGGGGCCAGAGAGGTGGAACAGCAGGTAGGGCACTGGCCTGGCACACAGCTAACCCACGTTCCATCCCGGATCCCTCCAGGGGCAATCCCTGTGCACAGAGCCAGGAGTAAGCCCAGAGCACTGCGAAGTGGGACACAGACACCAAATAGACAAAAGAAAAAGAGTTTCTGGTGATGGAGTCACCAGGATATGAAACATAGCCAGGATACGGAGACAACCCAGGCATCCAAGGACCGATGCATGGATTATGGAAATGTGGTACCTAGACGCAGTGGAATACTATGCAGCCACTAGGAGGGTGAAGCCATGCAAGTCACTGCAACTTAGACGGGACTAGAGGATCTCGGGTGGAGTGCAGTGAGCCGGAAGGAGACGCACAGGATGGTCTCTCTAGCTGTGGCATTTAGATAACAGGAGAAGGGAATCAAGGCGTGAGAGGGGGTCAACGCGACCCCCCTGGCCCCAGCAGCTAGGGAAGGAAAGGACAGAGAGGGACGGAGAGTCAGGGACAGAAGGAAGGTCACGGAGGCGGGGGAGGGTGGTGGAGGAGGATGGAACTCTGCACCCACTGAAGGCAGGAGAGCCCACCCACGAGGAACTTCTCACTGCACCTCTCTCGGGAGGCAGGGCGGGCGGGCGGGTGGTGGGGCCGGGGAGGGGGGTGACCCTGGTGTGGGACGTTGATGCAGGAACAGAGTCGGCCTGGAGCTCTTACCCTTGTGAATCACCGTGTCTTAATAGCTACTGGAAGTAAAGAAGTTTCTGGTATAGATGCGCAAAGATTTTGCTGGCAGAGTGCCGCCACCCCTGTCCGGGTCTCGTCTGGCCCGGCCTCCCTCCCCTCCCCCGCCCCGCTGACGTTCATGGTTTTGGTGCAGACCGTTGCCTCGCTTGGTGCCGTGCGCTCGAGGCCTGTCTGCTGCCAGGCGCAAGGAGTCTCTTGTGCTGTTTCCCCCAACCCGGCTCTCCGCAGTCAGGACTCCAGCACCCAGGGTCGATACCAGCTGATGGTCCAAGCCTTGATTTGCTTCTCCGGCACGCAAATGAGTGAGACCCTCCTGGGCTTGTCCTCCTGCCGTCGTCCTAGAATGACGCCGACATCGAATACCTGCTAACTGAATTTGAAGATTTTCTTTTTCTCTTTTTGGGTCACACCCAGCAGTGCTCAGGGGTCACTTCTGGCGGTTCTCGGGGGACGAGAAGGGATTCTGGGTAATAGAAATGACGAACCTGACGCTACTCCTAGTAAAGGCATGGCATGGAGATTTAATTTCCCAGCCTGGGTCTGCGCTGCCTGCAGAGAGCGAATGCCCTCCCGGCGGGCGGTGCCACGGCTCTGGGACAGAACGTGAAGACCCTCAAACAGAGTGTTTCCCGGCATCCGTCGTGGCACCTGGCAGGCGGCGGCCACTGCCTCTCCCCTCTTGGCGTCGCCTCTTGGCACTGATGTGGCAGTAACGACCCCCTGTCCTGTTGCAGCCGCCAGCGGGAGCCGAACTCGCCGAGCCCGGGAAGCGGCAGATGTCCACAGCGCCGGAGCCCGACCCCAGCCCCGGGCAGCAGGCAGTGGGCAGCCGGGGCTCCGACGCCTGCTGCTTCTGCTGGTGCTGCTGCTGCAGCTGCTCCTGGTAAGGGGGCCCTGGGCTCTGCCCCGCGCCGGGTTGGCACCCCCGCCACGCCCCCGTCTGAGTCCAGAGGTGGTTTGATGCTTCCTTGGGCCCCACGACACACACCAGCAGCGGCCAGAGACAAGGGGGAGGGAGGGACAAGAGAGGACAGCGGGCAGGGTGCTCGCCTTGCTGACCTGGCATCAGTCCCCAGCGCCCAGAGGGCCCCCGGGCCACCAGGAGTGATCCCTGAGCACAGAGGTAGGAGTAAGCCCTGGCGTCGCCGTCGCCAAGTCTAGGCCCACCCCGTCCCCCCCCCAAAAAAAAAGAATGAATGAATTTCGAGAATAGATAAAGAAAAGTGAACTCAGAAAATAATCACAGAGACAGGAGTGATAGCACAGCAAGTAGGGCATGGGCCTTGCACACAGCCAACCCGGGTTCGATCCCCAGCATCCCATAGGATCCCCGAGCACCACCAGGAGTAATTCCTGAGTGCAGAGTCAGGAGGAACCCCTGAGCATTGCCGGATATGACCCCAAAAAAAAGAAGAAAATAATCACAGAAATAGGTAAACAATATAATAGGTGAATATAATAATCTCATCGTAAAGGCATAATTCTAGAGATTCGATTTTCTGCTAAAAAATCCAAAGTGTTACTAATCTCGTGTAAATGACAGACGAATCAATGAACTGCTTACACTTTAGAAACAGATGATAAGAACATTTTTTTTTCAGATTTCTAAAATTTATTTTATTTAAAATGTATATTTTAATGATTCTGACAGATCAAAAATCATGTACATTGCATTGTCGATATAATAATAAAGTAAACATAAACAGAAATGGAATTGCACCGAACTGATAAAAGTTAAAAGCAAGGGAGAAATTGACTTATACTACCAATGTAAACAGACTTGTGAAAAATAGAAATACATATAAACCATCTATGTAAGTAGTTATATCTAAATTAAAATTTGCAGTTACCCTATAATACACCTGTAAACAAAAACACATCTGTGCATCAAAATGTACTCAATTTGAGATGCTAAATAGACTCTAAGTATAAAGTATAAGTATAAAATGAGGCCCCCATAACCATACCACCAGACTCCACACCAGGCTTTTTTCATTTGAGGTGCCCCAGAGGGGGGTGGGCAAGAGCCCTTCCCACCCCAAGCGACCCATCCCCAGCAGTCGACCTTCCCTAGCCAGCGCCGCTACACTCCAGGCCACATTCTGGATCACAAAGTGGCCTCACTACACATCATAAGATACTTCCTACCCTTTTTCATAATTACCACACCATGTTTGATGGGGTGATAAGAACATTTTTTAAAACAAAATTGGTGGCATTCATATATGGTCCAGAAGCGCGACACAGCTTTCACTTACCAGAAGACAACCAAAGGGTTCGAAAGGTTAGTCTGGGACAAAGGTGTTACCAGCAAAGAAGCAAATGGGACCGTTCCACAGTTAGCAGGAAATGAGGCGGCATCGGGGAGACCAGCTTCCCCAAAGTTTCCTGTAACTCCCTCAGTTGCTCATTTTAAAGTCTGAGCCCGGGGGCTGGAGTGATAGTAAGTGGGCAGGCCACTTCCCTTGAGTGAGACCGACTCGAGTTCCACCCCCAGCTCTCCAAATGGTCCCCAGGAATGATCCCTGCCTGAAGCACAGCCCCTAATTACGCCGGGTGTGTGTGGCCAAAAAACCAAAAAATTAATAAAAATTAAATTTGAGAACTGCAAAACTGATGATGAAAAACTGAATCCCAGGCAAGATAAGAAAACTGTTTCTTTTCTTGAACTCCAAATCCATAAAAATAGATTGACAGGCCAGAGATATAGTACAGTTGGGCAAGGCATTCACCTGGCACGTGGCCAGCCTGGTAGCCTGAGCACGACCTGGAGTGATCCCTGAGCACGGAGCGTAGAGTAAGCCCTGAGTTGAAAGATGGATGTGCCCCCCAAAAATAGCCCCAAAATGATTTGGATCTATAATTCCGCATTACATCATACATAACAAGTAATCCCTCTCCCACCCACCTGCCCCCCAAAAAAAGACAAAAGGAAAAAAAAAAGAACAATTCCAGATGGCGTAAAGGCCTACGTGTGAATAGAGAATACAAGATAAATTCTCTAGGTCTTGGCGTTGGAAAGAATCACTTTTAAAAAGAAAAGGCAAAACTCTTTAAAAAAGGAAAAGCTTTCATAAGTTTGAATACATTTGAATATAAAAATGTGTTTAACCAGAGAAATTAAAACACACATCCTCATGGAGGCTTCCTCATGAATATTCACGGCCGCTGGTTTCTGACAAGCCCAAACTGGAAATGAACATTGTGTTCATCAAGTGATAGATCAAGTGTGAAGGTTCCATGCAGTGGAGCGTTATTGGACCATGACACGGAAGAAGTATTGGGGCCAAGGCAGAGTCCAGCTTGCCTTGCATGCAGCTGACCCAGGTTCAATCCCCGGCAACCCATATGATCCGCAGAGTACTGCCAGGAGTAATTCCTGAGGGCAGAGCCAGGAGTGATTACTGAGCATCACTGGGTGTAGCCCAAAAGCCAAGAGAAAAAGAAAAGAAGGGTTGATACGACTGAGATGGACCGTGAAGGCTGCACACGTGGACACTGCCCCGCTGGCCTTGAATGTCGAGGTCAGCTAAATCCCGGCCAGCCATCAGGACAGACAGACCCGTAGCTGCCTCAGAGGTGGGAGAAAGGTGATGACTGCCAACGCATCCCACATTTCTCCCTGGAGTCATGAAGTGTCCTGAGCAGGCCCTGAGGACCCTAACTCAGACCCGGCCTCCGTGTACCCCCACCCCACAGGGGGAGCCCCGGGACCAGCACTGAGCCAGCGGCTCCTGGTGTCCTGCAGGCCTGCGCTCCCAGACGTGGACGGTCTGCGGAGACCCCCAGAAGAGTGACACCAAAGTAAGATAAGACCACGGTCCCCGTGACAGCACGGCGGCCGTCTGCTGCCAAACACCGGCTCTCCCCACGCCCTCGCTGGCGTGATGTGTGAATGAGACGCCAGTGACGCTCCTGAAGGTACCAGAAAGGACACGGAAAGACAAAGCGTCTCGGGGAAGGTGCCCGCACCGCTTCCAACAACGAGGTCAGGCCAGAAGAGACAAAGGGAGGGGAGTTGCCGGACCGTGACACCGAGTCTGGCCAGTTCCTCCGTCTCCCACGCCCGTGGGGAAGGACACGCCTCTCGCGGGATCCTGATGAACGAGAGACCTCAGGATGCTCTCGTCTCTGGAACCCACAGGAAACGCACACAGGCTACAGCATTTGATTTCCTTGATTTTCTTTTTTTTTCTCCACAAGCTTTTTTTTTTAAACTTTTTAATTGAATCACTGTGAGATAGACCCTTACAAAGCTGTTCATGAGTGGATTTCAGTCATCCCGTATTCCAACACCCATCCTTCCACCAGTGTATGTTTCCCAGTACCAGTTTGTTTGTTTTTTATATTTTTATTTTTATTAGTGAGACACCATGAGGTACAGATCCGTGATGCAGAGTAGAACAAAAACAGACCCCACTTTTCTTTCTTTTTCCTTGTTTCGTTTGAGCCCCACGCAGCTCTGCTCAGAGATTCCTCCTGGCCCTGCACCCAGGCACGGTTCCCTGCAGGTGCCCAGGGAACCTTCCAGACCAAAGCAGGTCCGCGAGCAAGGCAAGCCCCTCCCCATTGTCCCCTCACTGCGGCCCTGATAACAGTCTCCCCAAAAAGGCTGATGGCAGCGCCTTTTCTTAAATCCCTGTGTTACTCACCGTTCTGCCCCAGGGTCTCCTTGAAAATAAGCTCTTTCCTTTCTGGAGGATTGGAGAACTTCACATTAGCACTCAGAAATTTATCACACTGGATCTCACCAGGAGACCCAACTTCTTCCCAGACACGGGGAGCAGCTACTGTGACTATTGAAATTCTCTTGGTCTTAACAATAACCATAAACTGTATTTTTTTCAAAAAAGCACGGCATATGTTCTTTTTTAAGAACATGATTTCCTTAAGTATTTTCCTACTTAAAAAGAAGATACGGGGAAATAAATGTCAAAGCTGAGCACACAGGGCCCTTCTGAGTTCACAACACAATGCCCCATTTTCTTAAGAGTCTTGGTTGGCGGCATCCTTTCTTTTCTCTTGACTTCTCTCAGACCCCCTGTGTAGTAATGTTTTCTACTTGCAAAAAAGGAACCTGGAAAGTGAGACAGTCTTAATATCCCTGCAGCGAGAACACCATCCAGAGCCTCCAAAGTTTGTTTTTTTCTATTTAGTTGTGTTTTAAAGCTCCATTATTTACTGGCGCTTTTTAGCCCTGGCACAAAGAAGGCAGCAAGAGGGCCTGCATTTGTAATGGCCGGCATTCAAGGGGCACAGAGCTGCCCACGTGGGGAATCTCGCTGGAGATTCACAAAGCAAGTGTGCTGACACTAAGTTTGCTTATTTTATTTTATTTACTTATTTTTTTTTTTGCTTTTTGGGTCACACCCGGCAATGCACAGGGGTTCCTCCTGGCTCTGCGCTCAGGAATTACCCCTGGCGATGCTCGGGGGACCCTATGGGATAGTGGGAATCAAACCCGGGTCGGCCGCGTGCAAGGCAAACGCCCTACCCGCTGTGCTATGGCTCCAGCCCCTAGTTGGCTTATTTTAAATGCTGCAAACATTGCTAAGGAAGCACATAAAAAAAAAGAAGTAAACAACAGTAATAATAATAAAATGGCAAATGGAAGATGATGCAGACTCAGCGTCAACAATAAAAACCCACTTTGATGCCATGGTAACCTGCAAGGTTGGACAAGGTTGCAGGCTACCGAATGTAACCTGCCCACACGGCAGAGTCTGGCAAACTCCCCGTGGCGTACCCAATATGCCAAATACCAGTAACAATGATGGTTCTCATTCTCCTAACCCTGAAAGAGCCTTGAATATGGCACTCTTTAGAATCTCAGGGCTAGGGCAAAGGAGACGTTCCTGGGGCCTGCTCGAGGCAATCGACGAACAACAGGATGGTCGTGATCAAGACCATGATTGATCCCATGGGAAACAGAGGCAGCCGAGCTGGACAAGAGCAAGACAAGCAAGTCCACCATCTGCCATTTCACTCTGCACACGAAATATCCTGCTCATAAGTTCTTGCAAGGGAACTGCAACTTTCAATGAAAGCAAGTATGACAAAAATTATTTTCCCGTAGGTAAATCTTACCAGCTGTACCAAAGTGAAATTTTCCAACTTCACTTTGGTATAGCTGGTAAGATTTTAGGTCACCAAATTTTAAACAGATTTTAGGTCACCAAACTGTCACTAAACCTCCACTATGGAGTGACCACTGACAGCATCTTTCCCCCCTTATTCCAGCTCAGGGATGGAGGGAGGAGGGAGAGAGCATGAGAGGACAGCGGGGGGTCAAGCACTTGCCTTACATGCGGCCAAGCCCTGTCTGACCCCTGCCCCGCTACCCCCGGCACTGGGACAGTCCCCAAGCACCGCCAGGAGTGACCCCCATGCAGAGAGCCAGGAGTCAGCTCTGAGCACTGCGGGACAGTTCCACCCTTCCCTCCGGCCAAAAAAAAAAAAAAAAGGAAAAGGGAAAAACAAAACTTACATGCACAATCTATTTCGTCGCCCCAAAATATTTAACATTGAAAGTATTATCCTTCCGAATGTAAGAATGCTTACAATTGAAAAATAAGGACTAGGAGAGAGCCCTTGCACATGGCTGACCTGGGTTCGATCCCCGGCACCCCATATAGCCCACCAAACACCGCCAGGGGTAACCCCTGTGCATCACGAGGTGTGGCTTCGAATATAAATCAAATTAAATGAACTGGGTCAGAGAACTAGTACAGCAGTTAGGTGCACGCAGCCCTGGGCTAACCAGGAGTGAGATAGAACCAAGATGAGGCCTGGAGCACAGTCAGGATTTAAACGAAAAAGCAAATCAGTTGGGCTTTTTCTTTCTTTTTTTGCTTGTTTTGGTCACACCCAGCAAAGCTCAGGGGATACTCCTGGCTCTGCACTCAGGAATTGCTCCTGGCGGTGCTCGGGGGACCATATGGGATGCCAGGGATCGCACCCAGATTGGACGCATGCAAGGCAAACGCCCTACCTGCTGTGCTATCGCTCCAGCCCTGCAACTCAGTTTTTCAAGGACAAAGGATCTAACTAGATGCGCCTCCAAGGATGTACAAGTTACGAGTCCATGAAAAGATGCGTGACGTTAGCAAAATGCATGCCCAAGCCGCAGTGAGATGTCACTTCATACCTGCTTAAATGTTTAGGATTTTAAAGGAATAAAAAAACATGCTGACAAGGTTATGGAGAAACTGACCGTTGTGTCTGCAGATGTCACATGGCGTGGCTGCTTTGGAGAGCAGCTTTGGGTCTCCTCAAAACATTAAAATTTGAATGATTGGGGGCCAAAGTGATAGTACAGTGGGTAGAGCTTTTACCTCACACCGGCCGACCCAGATTTGATCCCCAGCACCCTGTATGGTCCCCTGAGCCTGCCAGGAGTGATTCTTGAGCACAGAGCCAGGAGTCAGCCCTGATCACCACCAGGTGTGGCTCAAAAAAAAACAAACCGCAAAAAGTTAAAATCATCAGTGCTCCCAGGTTAAATGAAAATAGGCAACTGCACAAAAGACATTGGGCCTCAGAGTCCACTACGCATAACAGGAACCTAAACGTTTGTCAACCGCATGAATGAAAAAAAGCTGTGATATATCCATGCAGTGGAATGTTACTCAGCCGTGTAAAGGAATCTAGTGCTGACGTGTGCTGTGACACTGCAAACCCCAAAGCCCTAGTGACAAGGGAAGGAGCCAGGCACGAAACACCAGGTTGGGTAGCTGGGAACTGCAGCTAGATTCGGGGCCGTCCAGAGCTGGGGGTGATGAATGGGGGCTGCCGACAGGGTTGGGACTTGGTTGGAAGAAATGAGGAAAACGTTCTGAAATTAAACCGCGGGGATTGCACAACCTTGTGGTGACGTGAAAGAAACCACGGGACCGGACCCCTAAAGGAAGGCAGGGCCAGGAGTGAGTCCACCCCCGCCTCCCCCCAAAAGCTGACATCATAAAAGTAATAATTTATTTCCAAATGCTTAAACTTGAAGATAGGGTACCTGGGTTAAGGGTTTGACCCCAGGCGCCCCTTGTTCCCCAAGCCCCACCAGCAGGGACCCTTGAGCACGGAGCCAGGAGTAAGACCGGAACACCCCCCAGAAGTGGCCCACCCAGAAAAGAAGGGTTCGAACTTGAGTTTCAAAAGTTAAAACGAGGGCTGGAGCAGTAGCACAGCGGGGAGGGCGCTTGCCTTGCACGCGGCCAACCCGGGTTCGATTCCCAGCATCCCATAGGGTCCCCCAAGCACTGCCAGGGGTAATTCCTGAGCACAGAGCCAGGAGTAACCCCTGTGTATTGCCGGGTGTGACCCAAAAAGGGAAAAAAAGTTAAAACGAAACCCCCAACTCACTGCAGCAGGGTCATGCGTGACCTGTGAACTGTTCCTGCAGCCTCACCGTGCGGAACCAGGCCGGGCAGCGCCCCAGGACGGCCTCACAGGAGCTCGGTGCTGAGGAACATCCGGCCTGCGAGGACAGGTGAGACCCCAGCCCTCAGCTCGGGGACAGAGAGAGACGCGCGTCAGTGGGACCAGGACCAAGCGCCCTTTCTGCCGTATCACCACTCTGACCCCAGACTTTAAAGAAACTAGACAGAGGGGCTGGAGCGATAGCATAGCGGGTAGAGCATTTGCCTTGCATGCGGGCCGACCCAGGTTTGAATCCCAGCATCCCATGTGGTCCCCTGAGCACCACCAGGAGCGATTCCTGAGTGCAGAGCCAGGAGTAACCCCTGAGCATCACCAGGTGTGACCCAAAAAGAAAAAAAAAAAACAAAGAAACTAGACAGGACAGATCGTGCAGGGATTAAGGTCTGAGTCTTGCAGTCTGATCCCTGGCACCCACTTGGTGCCCAGGCACCCACCTCTGTCCCAGCTCTGGTCTCTCCCTCTGTCTCTCTCCCTCTCTCTTCCCCTCTCATTCTCTCTCTCACGGTCTCTCTCCTGCTATCTCTGTGTCTCTCCCTCTCTTTCTCTGTCACTCTCTCCCTCTCACTTTCTCTCTGTCTCTCCCTCCCTCCCTCTCTATATCTTTCTCTTTCTGTCTCTGTCTCTCCCTCTCTCTCCCTCTCTGTTTCTGTCTCTTCCTCTCAGCCTCTGTCTCTCTCTCCCCGTCTCTCCCTCTGTCTGTCTCTCTCCCTCCGTCTCTCCCTCTCCCCCTCACTCTCGCTCTGTGCTCAGGGATGGCTCCCGGCAGGTTGGCTGGGCAGGTGCCTTCACCGCTGTCCGCCCCTCCCTTGGCTGGCAGGCTCTGCGACAGCTGCTGGCTGGGCTAGTGTTGGCCACTGGGGGTGGCTGGTTGCTCGAGTGAGCGCACCCGGCCCGGTGTGTATTTCTCAGACTCCGTGAGCACTGGGAGTCGGTGGCTCCATCCGAGTGGCAGAGGACCCCAGGGGTCACACCTTGTGTCCTCAGGGAGCTCACCCCCGCCGCCCACACGGGCCACCTGTTGCACACACGGCTCGCGCCCGCGTGTAGACAGACGGTGTCACCAGAGGCTCGGGGGCCGGGACACACTTTCCCCTGGGAAGACCCGAAGGTGGGGTCCCTGCGGGAGGGAACAGGCCGACCCGCCTCTCCCCGCAGCCCGAGCCCCACCCTGGAGGAGGTGCGCGCCTGGGGCCAGTCGTTCGAGCAGCTGATGCTCACGCCGGCCGGCCGCAATGCGTTCCGTGAGTTCCTGCGCACGGAGTTCAGCGAGGAGAACATGCTTTTCTGGATGGCCTGCGAGGAGCTGAAGCGGGAGGCCAACCGCAGCGCCATCGAGGAGAAGGCCCGCACCATCTACGAGGACTACATCTCCATCCTCTCTCCCAAAGAGGTGCGTGCGCGCGCGGAGATCGCCAACAAGTCGTGCGCTTTCCTTTCGGGGGGCGGGGGGAGTCCCCAAAACTTCCACCAGATTCCTTTTTTTTTTCCTTTTTGGGTCACACCTGGAGATGCTCGGGGGTTCCTCCTGACTCTGCACTCAGGAGTTACTCCTGGCGGTGCTCAGGGGACCCTATGGGATGCTGGGAATCGAACCCGGGTCGGCCGCGTGCAAGGCAAACGCCCTCCCCGCTGTGCTATCGCTCCAGCCCCTCCACCAGATTCTTTAGGAAATCGAGTTGTGCATTTTCCTGCTTCCACTGCTTTAGATTATTCTAGAAGTATTTCTTAGAAGAAAATCATCCTGGGGCTGGAGCGATAGCACAGCGGGGAGGGCGTTTGCCTTGCATGCAGCTGACCTGGGTTTGATCCCCAGCATCCCATATGGTCCCCTGAGCACCGCCAGGGGTAATTCCTGAGTGCAGAGCCAGGAGGAATCCCTGGGCATTGCTGGGTGTAGCCCAAAAAGGAACATAAAAGGAAAAGAAAATCATCCTCTTGTTCTGATCAAGTATTTGGGGGGAGGAAGAGGAGGAGGAGGAGGAGGAGGAGGAAGGAGGAGGAGGAGGAGGAGGAAGGAGGAGGAGGAGGAGGAGGAAGGAGGAGGAGGAGGAGGAGGAGGAAGGAGGAGGAGGAGGAGGAGGAGGAACGAGGAAGAGGAGGAGGAGGAGGAGGAGGAGGAAGGAGGAGGAGGAGGAGGAAGGAGGAGGAGGAGGAGGAGGAGGAAGGAGGAGGAGGAGAAGGAGGAAGGAGGAGGAAGGAGGAGGAGGAGGGAGGAGGAGGAGGAGGAAGGAGGAGGAGGAGGAGGAGGAAGGAGGAGGAGGAGGAGGAGGAGGAACGAGGAAGAGGAGGAGAAGGAGGAGGAGGAGGAGGAGGAAGGAGGAGGAGGAGGAGGAGGAGGAAGGAGGAGGAGGAGAAGGAGGAAGGAGGAGGAAGAAGGAGGAGGAGGAGGGAGGAGAAGGAAGGAGGAGGAGGAGGGAGGAGGAGGAGGAGGAAGGAGGAGGAGGAGGAGGAGGAAGGAGGAGGAGGAGGAGGAGGAGGAACGAGGAAGAGGAGGAGGAGGAGGAGGAGGAAGGAGGAGGAGGAGGAGGAGGAAGGAGGAGGAGGAGGAGGAGGAAGGAGGAGGAGGAGAAGGAGGAAGGAGGAGGAAGAAGGAGGAGGAGGAGGGAGGAGAAGGAAGGAGGAGGAGGAGGGAGGAGGAGGAGGAGGAAGGAGGAGGAGGAGGAGGAGGAAGGAGGAGGAGGAGGAGGAGGAGGAACAAGGAAGAGGAGGAGGAGGAGGAGGAGGAGGAAGGAGGAGGAGGAGGAGGAGGAGGAGGAGGAGGAAGGAGGAGGAGGAGAAGGAGGAAGGAGGAGGAGGAGGAGGAGGAGGAACGAGGAAGAGGAGGAGGAGGAGGAGGAGGAGGAAGGAGGAGGAGGAGGAGGAGGAAGGAGGAGGAGGAGGAGGAGGAGGAAGGAGGAGGAGGAGAAGGAGGAAGGAGGAGGAGGAGGAGGAGGAGGAACGAGGAAGAGGAGGAGGAGGAGGAGGAGGAGGTGGTTCTTTTGCTTTGGGGGCCTCATTAAAGGGTGCTCAGTTACTGGCTCTCTGCTCCAGGATGACTCCCGGCAGGGCTGGGGACGTCAGGCAGTGCTAGGCTGAAGCCAGCGCCCTCCGCCCGCCCGGGTCTGTGTCTTCTGTGACGCGCAGGTGGGTGACACTGACGGCAGAGGCGTCCAGGGGTGATTCGTTAAATTAGTATCGTGGATGTTCTTACAGGAGTGAAATCATGCAAGCCGCCCTCTCTGAGTTTTTGTTCCTACACATGTAAAAGTCAGGGTCTGGGTGGTCCCAAAACAAAGTGCCTGGTTTTTGTTTTGTCTTTGTCTTGTTTGAGGGCTGTGAAGGGCTGAAGGGCCGTGAGGGGCTGTGAGGGCTGTGAGGGGCTGTCGTATGCCTGAACTGGGGCCCGCGGGCTGCAGTCCACGCCATCCCCACAGCCTTCTGCCCCTCCTCTGTTCTCCTCGCCTGCCCCTTCTCTGGGGGGTGAGGCCTGGCCGGTGTGACGACAGGTGTCAGGGACATGGGGGCTTCTTTTTTCCACTGGTCACGCTGTGAGGCCTGGCCCTGGCCTGGAGCCTGGGCAGCGGGCGCTTGGGTGCCCCCAGACGGGATGGTGCCGTCACTGCCCTCCGCAGAGGGCAGTGCTCAGGCAGACGCTGGACACAGCGACAGGAAGTGGTGGCACTGTCTGTGGGGACCGAGGTCATTGCCCCTTCACCAGCTGGACAGCATACACGACCTGGGGCATGGGGGGTGGCACCTACCTAGCACACAGCCACCCCGGGCTCCATCCCCACATCCCACAGGGTATCCCACCTGGAGTCATCCCTGAGCACAGAGCCAGGAGCAAGCCCGGAGCACTGCCAGGTGTGACCCAAGTCACCATCCCAAACCCCGAGAAAAAATACAACTAAACTAAGAAGTGTGGCAGTCAGGGGCTCCCCTGACTGGCAGCACAGGGGGACACCGCAGAGGCAGAGCCCGGGCAGAGCTCGGCCTGGCGCGTGGCGTGTGGACAGCTCAGGAAGCCCTGGCCGTGCCCGCCACGTGGACACCAGCTCTCGGCCAGCTGTACTGCCCATTCGCAGCCAGGCTGGGTTCTGGCGTAGTTGCTGCACCCAGGTGCCCTGGTGCCCTGGGGGCCAGCAGGGCGGAACCAACCCAGACGCGGGCCTGCCCTCAGAGCCCACAGCCTGCGCTTTGCAAAGAATGAAGCCAGCCCCAGGGCAGGAGAGCCGAGTGGGCAGCATCCAGCTCCACACCTCAGGCAGGCTCGGTGCCAGGCCCAGTCACCAGACCTGGCGGCCTCGGAGGCCACAGACAAACCCGGTTGGTCCCCACAGCGGGGGGGGGGGTGGGGGGGGGGTATTTGCATTTTTTTTTTTTTTTTTTTGCTTTTTGGGCCACACCCGGCGATGCTCAGTGGGTCTGCACTCAGGAATTACCCCTTGGGCAGTGCTTGGGTATGCAGGGGATCGAACCCTGGTCAGCCGTGTGCAAGGCAAACACCCTCCTCGCTGTCCTATTGCTCCAGCCTCCTTATTTGTATTTTGTAATTTTTAAATTTGTTTTTATCTGGAACTGCTCAGGGTTGACTCCAGGCTCTGTGCTCAGTGCTCACTCCTCCTGGGGCTCAGATCTGTGGCCTGACCCCAAGTCAGCCACGTGCCAGGCAAGCGCCTCTGCATTCAGTTTTTCCATTCAAACCCTAGATGAATTTCTTCAATTTGGGATTTTTTTTTGTTTTTAGGCCACATCCAGCAGTGCTCGGGGCTGACTCCTGGCTCTGTGCTCAGGGCTCACTCCTGGTGGGGTTCAGGGGACCTTAAGTGTTGCTGGGGATCGAACCCGGGTCGGCAGTGCAAGACAAGCGTCCTCCCCACTGCCTTAGGCGCTGGCACTTTGGTTGGGGATTAAAAGCACACACAAGGGGCTGGAACAATAGCACAGTGGGGAGGGCGTTTGCCTTGCACGCGGCCCGACCCGGGTGCGATTCCCAGCATCCCATAGGGTCCCTTGAGCACCGCCAGGAGAAATTCCTGAGTGCAAAGGAGTAACCCCAGTGCATCGCCAGATGTGACCCAAAGAGCCAAAAAAAAAAAATTAAAAATTAAAAAAAATCAAAAAAATAAATAAAAAAACCCACATGGGGCCACAGAGCCAGCACAGCGGGTCGGACACTGGCCTTGCATGCGGCTGACCCGAGTTCGATCCCTGACATCCCAGAGGGTCCCGGGAGCCCCGCCAGACCTGATCCCTGAGTGCAGAGCCGGGGGTGACCCCAAACCAGAGTCAAATTGAAAACGCACATCGACTGGGGCTTGGGTTTCCAAAAAGCAGCCAGTGGCCAGGGCTGGCGAGCTCAGCAGTCCTGGCCGGCGGGCAGAAAGGCCAGCTCGGACCCCAGTACGGGGGACCGGGAGCCGCGGGCAGCAGGGGTGAGGCGGCGCCTGTCTGTCCCCTGCAGGTCAGCCTGGACTCGCGCGTCCGGGAGGTCATCAACAGGGACATGGAGGCGCCTTCCCAGCACGTCTTCGACGACGCCCAGCTGCAGATCTACACGCTGATGCACCGGGACTCGTACCCGCGCTTCATGAGCTCGGCGCTCTACCGGGACCTGCTCCAGTCTCTGGCGGACAAGGCCGTGGAGGCCTAGAGAGCACCGTGGGCGCGACTCGGCGGCGAGACGGTCAGAGACGCCAGGCCCGTGCCTCAGCGAGACGGGTCAGAGACGCCAGGTCCACGCCTCGCCGGGAGCCGCAGGGGGGGTCCCTCCCGGGGGTCCCGGCGCGTTTCTAGTGACAGATGCAAGGGGCTCGGGGGAGATACAGAGACCGAGGGGGCGGGGGCCGTGTGGCCGTCCCGGGGTGGTTTACAGAGCAGCGGTCCTCGAGGGCAGCGGCGTGTGGTCAGTTCCACACTTCCCGGGCCCCGTCCGGCTGCAGGAGCTCTGAGGGTTGCTCCGTTTCGGGTGACTTCAGCACCCGGTCGTGGTCCTCCTGGAAACAGGCAGGCACCTGGGCACTTTCGTTCTGGGCGTGTCCTGGGCCACTGCCCTTGTCTGCCGCGTGGCCTCCCCTTTCGAAACAGTCTTCCGTCCACTCCAGAGTCTGGGTGTGCAGACGCACGTGCGTGGGCACCTGCCCGTGGCCGCGGGAGCACGCCGGGCCCTTCCGTGCTCCGGTGGAATGTTTGGCAGAAGCGGGGGTACTTAGAAGTTCTTCTGTTGAGGGGCCGGAGGATCCGAAGGGTGGGCAGGATGTTTGCTCTGCCGGGGTCCAAGCCAGGTTCCATCCCCGGCACCCCGTGGGGTCTCCTAGGCTCCCCGCCCCCCACCCCCGCCCAGGAGTCAGCCTCCAGCAGCTCTGGGTTTAGCAAAAAGTCGAAAGTTCTCTTGTTGAACGCTTCCATTTTATTTTCCTAACCTACCTAAAGAATGAAATTCTGAGTCCACTTCATGTTTATACATATATATTTTTTAAAGCATGCAAAATAAGCGTATTTCCATTTTTCTTCTTGGAAAAACAAAATCATGGCATTTTCACGCTGGAGAAAAATAAGCACAAGGGTTTTATCTTTTTTTTTTTTTTAAGGAGGGTCACCTTTAACTATTTAGAAAATGCTGTGATGGAATCAAGGGAGGAACTGGTAGAAATCCATTTTAGCTCTCGGCCTAGAGTTTTTAGAGCCGCTGATTTTTGATCACAAGCAGAGAGGGGGGAGAAGATTTTGTGGCTGAGGGGTGAGAAGGTGCCCGAGGGGCCGAGTCCTGTCCCTGAGCCCTTGGAGGAGGGCAGCTGTGCCTGGGTGGTGCCGCCCACAGCAGCCCAGGCTGCAGGGGGACACGGCGGCTGGCAGGGGCCCGTCCTCTCTCCCTCACTCGGGTACAGGCGGCTGAGGACGCAGGAAACGTCCCAGCGGGGAACAAGGACGATGGCGGGACGTGCATGCGGGTAACAGCAGCCAGGACCCAGTGAGGACCCAGCTCCGAGCACCCGCAGGGACCCAGCCCCGAGCACCCGCAGGGCCGTGGCTTCTCCCTGCAGCAGGGTGGGTGGCTGGCATGACACAGGGCCAGACGGGGCCCGGGGGGAGGGAGGGAGCCCTTGAACCTGGCCGTGCGCTCCGTGGACGTGGCCCGCTCACCTGCCGCCTCCCTGGTCCGACGCCCAGGGCATGCTCAGCTCCCTGGCTCTGCAGGCAAGGCTGGCACCCCGCACCCAGGGCCGACGTGGCCTGTCTGGGCTCGTCTTCCTCTCTGAGCTTCCCTGTCGCTCCCCTGCGGGAGGGCACAGCGCCGAGGCCACAGCAACACACACAGCATCGTCGTGTGAGAACGCACACAAGGGCCAGGCCTCACACACACACACACACACACACACACACACGTAAACTACACTGAGCACCTACTCCATGCTGTTGCGACTGACAGCTCAGCGCCAAGGTCTGGGCGTCAGCTCGCCTTTTTCTGTGCTTCCTAAGTTTCCCCTTTGCCCGGTTCAACTATAATAAACTCACGACTGCCGAATGAGGGTCTGGTCTGAGCTTCCTCTGCTGCCCACTGGCAAGTCACCCTCGGGCCCACCCTGCCTTCCTCCACGACCCCCTCGCCCGCGTTTCTCCACCCCTCAGACACAATCACCAGATCCTCCTTTGGGATGCGCCTCTCCCCAAAGTGCTCACAGGCTACTCCTGGCAGTGCTCGGGGGCCAGACTCAGCCACCTGCATGCAGGCGCACACACGCTCCAACAATTGGCTGATCCCAAAGTCCTGCCTTCCCCTCCCCAACGCCCTCCTGCGTCCTCTCCAGCCTGCTACGCCCCCGCATCTGTGCCAGAGGGAACCGGCCACCTCCCCCGGCCCAGGGCAGCGTCACCCCACCGACAGCCAAGGTGTCCCCCGCACGGCCAGGAACGACCCCGGAGCACTGCCGGGTGTGACCCAAAGCCAGAAACGTGGCAAACCCGTCTCGCAAATGCTGCAGGGCCTCTTACCCACGTCCTGTCTGCACCGAGCCCTCCCGAGGCTCCCTGACAGCATCCCGTCCCCCAGTGCCAACTGCAGATACCCGGTTCTTGGGGGACAGGAAGCCCAGGGCCTCCACAGTGGGGGCACCAGCTGCCTAGCTGAGCCCGCATCCTGCTCAGACTCCAGGCCGTTCACGCGCGGAATTGGCACACGCACCGCTTCACACTCAGAAACTATTCCCGAGGGCCGGAGTGACATGCAGTCACAGGGAGGCACCTGCCCTGCTCACAGCGGCCCCTCACTGTCCCCCGAGCACCGCCAGGAGTGATTCCCGCGTGCAGAGCCATGAGTAACCCCTGAGCATCGCCGGGCGTGGCCCAAAAAAAACAAAACCTACTCATGAGACGTTGCTTTCTGCTACTTCCTAACCCCTCTCAAAATTACCATCCTCCACTCAGCAAATGCTTACCACTCCTACTTTCCGTATTGGTATTGTTTTTTTTTGGGGGGGGGGTCACACCCGGCGATGCTCAGGGGTCACTCCTAGCTCTGCACTCAGGAATTACTCCTGGCAGTGCTCGGGAGACCCTATGGGATGCTGGGAATCGAACCTGGGTCGGCCACGTGCCAGGCAAACGCCCTCCCCGCTGTGCTGTCGCTCCAGCCCCCTCCATATTGGAATTTCTGCCCTGGAAGGCAGATTTCCTTCACGCTGGGTGACATTCCTTTATTGTTCCAGAACTGCTTCTTGGTACAAGTTCCATCCTAGCTGCTACAAATCTCGTGTCTGTGCACCCCAGGCCGACAGCTCCGCGGCACTGAAAAGTCCATCCTAGCCACCATCTGCTATGAAATATTCACGTCAATAAATGTGGGTTTATTGGAGAGTTTATGGCTGAAACTGAACCCCTCGTAGCTGGAAAGGAACGGCATCTCAGGCCTCTTCCCCGCCCTCCCACCTACCAGCAGTCCCCGGCCACAGAACATGACAGACACAGTCGGTTCCAGGGCCATCCGAGAGGGCGGGATGTGCAAGAGAACTGGAAATGAGTCTGGGAAGTGGTGCTGAGGATAAAAATTCGGGTTTTTTTTTGCGGGGGGGAGACGGGAGCGTGCGGGATCAAGGCCATGCTCAGGGCTTACTCCTGGCACTCGGCAATCACCTCTGGCGGTGCTGGGGGACCATATGGTACGCCCAGGAAATTGTGTCACTGCCTTCCAGTGTTCCCATGATTTTTCCTTTTTCCTGCTGAAAATGTACTTTGTTTTCTTTATGTATTTATTTTTGCTTTTTGGGGTCACACCTGGCAATGCACAGGGGCTCCTCCTGACTCTGCACTCAGGAATTACTCCTGGTATTGTTCAGGGGAACCATATGGATGCTGGGAATCGAACCCGGGTCGGCCACGTGCAAGGCAAACGCCCTACCTGCTGTGCTATTGCTCCAGCCCCAAATGTACTTTGTTTTTATTTTTTTATGTATTTTTGCTTTTTGGGTTACGCCCGGTGGTGCACAGGAGTTACCCCTGGCTCTGCACTCAGGAATTATCCCTGGCGGTGCTCAGGGGAACCATATGGGGTGCTGGGAATCGAACCCGGGTCGGCCACGTGCAAGGCAAACGCCCTCCCCGCTGTGCTCTCGCCCTAGCCCATCATTGTTTTTAAAGGGGGCGGCAGGGGAGGAATACCTATTATAGATCACATTTCAGGGTAAAAAAATAACAACCAGGGCTGGAGTGATAGCACAGCGGGGAGGGCGTTTGCCTTGCACGTGGCCGACCCGGGTTCGATTCCCAGCGTCCCATATGGTTCCCCAAGCACGGCCAGGAGTAATTCCTGAGTGCATGAACTAGGAGTAACCCCTGTGCATCGCTGGGTGTGACCCAAAAAAAGCAAAAAAAAAAAAAAAAGACAACCCTTTTAATCTAAAGAAACTCAGTCATCCCGTAGTGAAGCTACTTGAGCTAATTATGTAGCATGTCACACATTAAATGTTGTCTATTTATAGCTGTCAGGACCATGAAAGAAAACAACATCACAGTGAGCTGTCGTTTCCTAGTCGCAGGGGCGAAACCCAGAGCCAGCCGGCTGCAGGCGTCCTCTGTGCTCTGGTGCCCACCCACCGGCTGGGTAACAAGCACAAGAGCACACACGTCAACGGGGGGAACCGTTCTAATGAATCAAAGTCTTGCAGCACTTCTCATCATCCAGACCCGGACGAGTTCTCCCCAGGGGCCCAGACAGCTGCTTTGCATGCAGCCTGGCATCTGCGAGCCTGGTCCCACACACGTCCCCTGGGCGCCGCCAGGTGTGGCCTCAAACCGTCCCTCCAAAAGACGTGCAAAAACAAATGGGACGAGAGAAAGAGAGAAAGAGCCGGTAGCCCTTTCCTGTTGTTCCTCCTCTAAAGATGGGTCCAGGGCCCAGAGGTGACAAGCCGCACACGTTCCAGGCATGAAATCCAGGTGCCATCTCGACCCTTCCAAAGCGCTGAGTCAGGAGTACCGAGAGCACAGGGGATGCCCCTCCCCACACCACAGAAATCGGTCGGATTCTGATAAAACATTTCCCAAGAGAGGTGTGTCCTGCTCCTGTAGGTCTTCAGCTGTGAAACACTCGCGACACCTCAGCTTCCATCCATCCATCCTGAAAGCTACAGCCCCGACAGACTCGGCCGGGAAACGGACTCGTGAGCACTGACAACGCGGCATTCTTCTAGGTGTCCAAAGACAGAGAGCAGTTGGGGCCGGAGCCATAGCACAGCAGGGAGGGTGTTTGCCTTGCACGCGGCCGACCCGGGTTCGATTCCCAGCATCTCATAGGGTCCCCCGAGCACCGCCAGGAGTAAGTCCTGAGTGCAGAGCCAGGAGGAACCCCCAAGCATCGCTGAGTGTGACCCAAAAAGAAAAAAAGTGAGAGACAGAGCAGTGATGGAGTTTTCCGTAAGTGTCCTGGCTGTGAGACAAGAGACAGTACGGTGGGCAGGTGCTTCTTACCTTACATGCAGCTGACCTGGATTCAATCCCCGGCCTCCCCTGTGGTCATCCTCCCCCACCCAGAATACCTCCGGGAGTTATTCCTGAGAGCAGAGTCAGGAGTCACCCAGAGCACAGCTGGTGTGACCCTAGAACTAGACCGTAAAGACCGTCTTTATTACCTGGCAGCTACCTACTGGCCCCTGCCATCGTGAGGGGTGTCGCCAGTGCTCTGCAATGTCGCCTCACTTCCTTTCCTTCGGCTTTCTTGACCACTCCCCAGGGTGAAGGCCTCAGCAGTAGCCCGCCCTCCCGTGAGGCAGCAGGACCTCGCTCACCTCGAGACGGCAGAGAGGGGCCCATCACACACATCTCCCAGCCGGACCCTCAACTCCGGAATGGCTGCGTTTCCAGACCTCAATCTCCCTGTGTTTGGAAGGGCGGGGTGGGGGGGTGCAAAGGAGAATTGATTGTTGATCAATAGTTTGTCACAACACCCAAGTTTTTCTTTGGAGAAGGAAAGTCAGACTCCCAACCGCATGTAACAGTCGCCATATAACTTGTTTGACTGGGACCCAATCATGGACAACTTTCTGTGAAAAAGAAGAAAATAACTGCACTGAAATTGACAAGAAAAATTCAAAGCCCAAGGCAGGGGAGACCGCAAAGGGCTGGACGCGGAGCCCGGCACACGCAGGAGACCGGGGTTCCACTCAGCACCCGGGTCCCTTTGCAATGGGCCAGGAGTGCCCCCAAAGACCACCTTGACCCCAAAACAGATCACACAAAATTCCCAAGATAGGTTTCTTCTTCGTCTGTCATGCTAATAGCCTCAACATCTATAAGACATACAAGTTTCAATATTTGGGCGTTTAATAATATTTTGGGCTGGAGCAATAGCACAGCGGTAGGGTATTCGCCTTACACGCAGCCAACGTAGCCAACCCGAATTCAATTCCTCTACCCTCTCAGAGAGCCCGGCAAGCTACCGAGAGTATCTCGCCCGCACGGAAGAGCCTGGCAAGCTCCCCGTGACGTATTCGAGATGCCAAACACAGTCACAAGTCTCACAATGTTACTGGGCTCGCTAGAGCAAATCAGTGAACGATGGGAGGACAGGGACAGTGACGATAATATTTCAAAGTTTTAAAAATGGGTTAGCAAGGCTCCTAGGCCATGCCCCTGGGCCCAGGCAGGGGCCACGTTCCTGCTGCTTCTATGTCAGTTTCTCCCAAGACTTGGCATGTACCGACCCCAGGCACGTCACGACCCTCGGTCACTGGTCCGGCGAAGGTACAGAAACAAAGGCTGCTCCACAGTGCTCCTCCCATGAGTTTAACTGTGAACCTGATAAGCTTCATTTGCTTAAAATTGTACTCAAAAAAAAAAGGGGGGGGGGGGCTGGAGCGATAGCACAGCGGGTAGGGCGTTTGCCTTGCACGCAGCCAACATGGCCGACACAGGTTCAATTCCCAGCACCCCATATGGTCCCCCAAGCACCGCCAGGAGCGATTCCTGAGTGTATGAGCCAGGAGTAACCCTTGAGCATCGCCGGGTATGACCCAAAAAGCAAAAAAAAAAACCTTAGTAATTCAGTGAGGGGGAACTTAACACACAAAGCAAACTTCAGTGTCTAAATAAAATGACAAAACGTGGCATGTTTAATAACAAGAAACTTTATTGAATTACAAATCTTAAAATGGATCACTTAATTTAAACATAGGGTAATTTTAACGTCATTCTTCAATTTGTTCTTTCAAAAATCCACTTCAATTTTGAAAATGAGGCAAACAAAGGCTAAGTGCATGAGCCGACAAAGCGGACGGAGTGGAACTGGCGGCCAGTTAGGGAGCTTTAGAAGCTGTCTTCGGTGTAACGTCGTCTGATTTGCGAACGTGGGCCAAGGGGGAGTCGGGGCAAGGACCGCGGACGCGGAGGCCTTCCTGCGCGTGCGCAGCAGAGCCAAGGTGCAACATGATCATGTGTGGGCTGGGTGACAGGGAACTTGTAAGACAGGCCAGGGCAACTGGGGCCTACGGGGCCAAGTGGAAACCAGCCCCCTCGCTCCGAACAGGACAAACGGTGCCTCTGCACGGCCAAACGCAGCCCCGATGTCAACCAGAGTGCGTTACAGGCCGTCTGTCTCTGCGTTCATTCAGCCATGAGAAAGTCAACCAGTAAGACTGTCGACAAAGATATTTTCTCCCTTAACCCCGCTCTCCCTAGGGAGTGGCGAGTTTTAATGATTTAACGAACTCGGCCAACCCGTCCTACACTTAATCTTCGGCCAGCCCAGATCTCCAAGCCAAAGACCAGCCGAGAACTGTTGGTTGACAAGGACTACGCTAGGGTAAATGCGAACACAAAATCTTCGCAGGAAGGGGAGGGAGGCAGCAGGAAATTCCCACTCTTGGCCCGCGCTGAGACTTAGGAAGTCTACCGAACTAGAAGCCGTTCTGCAAAGCCGAAGGACTGTTGGAAACAGGCAAATACAACCCAGCGGATGGCGACGAAAGTGAAATAAATCGATGAAAGAACAAGTAAACATGTACAAGGAATTACAAGTGATGATCAGTTACGAATGCAAAATAGCTAATTTACCCAGGCTTATGAACATAATAATTAAGATCAATTTCATATTCTAGTTCAAATAGTATGTACAATTTAGAGAAGCTGGTATTATCTGAATACACACTTGATAAAATTTTCATATGACCTTTTCTCCTCCTTCACTATTTGCAGTACATGCCAAAATTGGGGGGGAGGGGAGAAACGTAACTTCCATTTATCCGTTTCTGTATTAACTGAGAAAAATACCATTTTGACTACGTATGCTTCAGACAATAATATTGTTAAGGTACATTTTCCTTAGAGAAGGAAAGTAGGTGAGAAGAAACCGACAGTTTAACTGATAAAAGTTTAATATCAACTTACTTATATAAAAAAAAAAAGAGAAAGAATGTTTTGAAACAGATGCCATACAATTAAATGGTCTCTCTACTAATCTGACACTAGAGCGGCTTTTAAGGAAGGGATGCTGTCAGGAACAAAATCTAACCCAAAGGATGTACATTACTTAAAAAATCTGATTTGCAGGAAACTAGTTGCTCTGCTTAGCTTTAAAACTAATTATAAAATCCATTTTCTTAATGGTCCGGAAATTTCTCCAATTCTTCCAACTCAACAGAACTGTCAAAACAAAACAAAAAAAAATCAATTTTATTTTTTTGGCGAGACCTTTAATACAAACAAGTGGGTACAACCCAACCTCATTTAAAAACCAGCATCTAGCACACATCGTCACAAAGGAGCAGTTTAGCGAAAGATGCTGTCTCTTTCAGAGAGGAAGACACACCCCAGGACCTAGCTGATGGCTCTTAGAATCTGAGGGAGCATCTAAGAAACCGTTATCAAAAAATTGGGGGGGGGACCGGGGACAGGGCGGCAGACGCTAGGGGGTTAGGGGCCCAGCAGTGCTCAGGAGCGACCAGAGGTGGGGCCAGGGACGAACCCGGCTCTCACGGCAAGTGCGTTAATCCCTGCACGGTCACTTCAGAGGCGTGAAATGCTTTTCACGAAGCACCTCTCGTCTATCTCATCTATTTAAACATTTTTTGTGTGTATATGTGTGTGTGTGGGGGGGGGTTGGCAACCCCCACCACACTCACGGCGAGTCCTGGCGGGCTCGGGGGACCCTATGGGGTGCCGAGGATCGAACCCGGGTTGGCTGCATGCAAGGCAAACGCCCCCCCCCCCTTCTCGATATTTTCTACCTGAAAAATTTATCTCTAACTTGAACGTCCAGAGGAAGCCACCTCAGCAACAGTTTCTGATCAGAAATTCAATTTTTTAAAACCCAATCTGGAACATATGCCAGTCTACATTCAAAAACTGCTGCGAATGCCCATACCATTAGTAACCACAACGCCATACGAAACAAATTCAAGAATCATCTTCAAAAAGTCACCAGAGACTCTCCACAGAACCGAAAAAGGAAAGACAGGACAGGCGGGGCGGGAAGCGGGTAGGGGTGCACGGCTTTGCACATGGCCCGCCTGGGTCTCATCCCGGGACCCCTTTGGGCCTGAGGCCTCCCAGGAGGGATCCCCCAGCGCCACTGGCTGTGGCCCGAACACACACAAGCACAACAAAACCAAAAGGCCAGTGACCTCATACAGACCCGTGTCACAAACATCTGGCAACTGGCCCAAACAACTGGTCCAAATCACGATGACCCTTAATACCAGGGGCCTTCGGTTTACAATAAGCTCTGTAATTCATGGTGATTCAATTCTTTAAAAATAAAACTAAATGAAATTGGCCTCGACCCCTAGATGAGTGTCTGCAGGCAAGGTTCCTTGCCACGCTTGCGGGAGACACATCCTCCCCAACATCTTTAATTCGATTCTGATTTTCAGGGGAAATAAAGGACAACCTACGGGAGTGATTCGAAATAAGCATCAAGCTTAAAAATCTATTAAGAATCATTCTTTTAAAAAAAGAAGAAAAAAAGGAAAGGAGGGCTGGAGTGACAGCACAGCGGGTAGGGCGTTTGCCTTGCACACGGCTGACCTGAGTTCGATTCCCAGCATCCCATATGGTCCCCCGAGCACCGCCAGGAGTAACTCCTGAGTGCTAGAGCCAGGAGTAAGTCCTGAGCATCGCTGGGTGTGACCCAAAAAGAAAAAAAAAAAAGAAAATTCTGGGTCTGGAGAGAGCACAGCCCAGTGCTGGTCTTGCACACAGTGGCGCTGCTCTGACCCCGGCATCCCATACGGTCCCCGGCATCCTGGAGTACGGAGCAAGAATAAGCCCTGGGCAGCTGCCACCACCACCCTCTATCCCCCCCAACCCAGACCTTGTAAGATATTCATAAAACTAAACCAATGGCCTGGGTGGGACGGGCCCAGCAGGAGCACCAAGGCTCCTGTCCAAGGCCCTAGGCTGACCCCAGGGCTGGGCGCGGGCCCTGTGCAAACATCTCACGGGGTCCGAGAGGGAGCACAGGGGCTCAGGCGCTGGCCCTGCGTGCAGTCGGCCTCAGCTCAATCAATCCCAGCATTGGGTAACGATCACCCCCCAGATTAGCTCAAGAATCACGCTGGAGGGGCTGGAGAGATGGCACAGCAGGAAGGGCGTTTGCCTTGCACACAACCGACCCGGGTTCGATTCCCAGCATCCCATAGGGTCCCCTGAGCACCGCCAGGAGTAACTCCTGAGTGCAGAGCCAGGAGGAACCAATCTCTGTGCATCGCTAGTTGTGACCCAAAAACAAAAACCAAAAAAGAATCACGCTGGAACTCTAGAAGGTTCCTCTCTGAGGCAGGAGCCCTAGCGGCGCTCTCATTTCTGGGACTCTGAGACGGTCCTGACATGCCCTGGGGCCCTCTCCAGTGGCTCCTTCAGCCATGAGTCCCGAGCGTACTAGGACTTCACAATGTGTCTCTCTAGAAGCAAAATGTGGAAGACTATGCTTGGAACTGAAAAGCAAAGAATGACTCGATCGTACCCAAGAGCATGATTCATGCATCTGAACCGTCTATCGATTCTCACCCTTTAATATCCTATCACGGGTTGGAACAATAGCACAGCGAGTAGGGCGTTTGCCTTGCACACAGCCGACCTGGGTTCGATTCCCAGCATCCCATATGGTCCCCTGAGCACCACCAGGAGTGATTCCTGAGCACAGGAGCCAGGAGTAACCTCTGGGCAACGCCGGGTGTGACCCCAAAAAAAGCAAAAAAAAAAAAATCTTATCAGAGGATGAGTGGGAAAACCCATTTACAACTTAAAGGAATGTCCCTCTAAGATGCTCCTCGTCCTCCCCCTTAAATTAGTGGGCTGGCTTCTGCTGGCGTCCTTGCGGAATGTTTTTGTGTTTAAGATGAGCACACACAGGGAACCTGAGACCTGAATCAAGACGTCCTCCCATCCTTTCTTTGCGCTTAAGTCTTACCCACAGAGGAATTTTACATGTAAGGACAGAAATCTAATTGCTGTCAGTGTTTTATTTCAACGTTCATTATGAGTAAAACGTTTAAACGGAGGAAGAAACCAAGGTCAGGAGCTGATGGATGTCCCTGAACTAAGGAACAGCTGGTCCCCACCGCGGGGCCGGACACCCGTGGGTTTCTGGCTTTAGCTAAGAAGGTTCTTTTGTTTCAGTCAGCCCCGGGGGGTTCCAGAGCAAGGACCACTCCCGACTCCAGAGTACTGGGGACGGCGTGCAGGGACTGGCTGACGTCCGTGTGGGCGCCTGGGTGGGCCGAGCAAAGGGCCTGAGGTCCCGCGTTCTATCCAGTGAGGACCAAGCGCCCAGAGACACACATACCTTCCACCGGTTCCCACACTCATTACAGACGACAAACGTAGTCATCGGCTCATCAGCGCTCCGAGTTTGAACCTACGGCAAAAGCAAGCGGAAAACGTCAGACTCTTACTGGAGATTTGGCCTCAACAGAACACTGGACGTCAACAGGGCTCATTCAATCCCACACCTATGCCTAAGTCCCTCCTTGTTCACTGCTCATGTTTAATTTACCCCAGGTACGTGGGGAATCATGTCAAGTCACACATCAAATAATTCTGATAAACGGCCATCCCGATGCAAAACATGCAGATCACTAAGAAGCAGAGAAACGGTCCCTAAAACACGCCAAGTTTCAGGCCGGGAAGAGAGCACAGGCCCCGCACGCAGCGGCCCAGAGCCCCGAGGGCCACAAACGTGGGCGCTGAGGCCCCAGGTAAGCACAGTGTCGGGTCCCCCTCAGGACGGCAGGGGCCGGCCTCACCCCAAGACAACAGACATGGGTGCTTTCTTGTGAATCAGCAAAGCTGTAAAAATCAGAAATATTTCATTCCGATGAAACCACCAGCGCCTCCCTACGCAGGCAGCCGCAGAACCAGAGGCCCAAGGACCAAGGCGAGCCCAGACGCCCGTCCCAGGGCAGCCGGGACCGCTTCCGTCCCTGCTCTGCGCATGGGCCCCCAGCACCGTCCTGGGTGCAGGAGTGAGTCCTGAGCACAGCCAGCGTGGCTCGAAAACCCAAAACCAAACAAAAGACACACACATCCCTCATGGTCATCATCCACTATTCAAGTTACAAAACCAACAGCCAGAAGTTTTCTGGTTTGTGGTTCTGAAAGTTCCTGCTTTCGGCCCCGGAAGGCGGAGTCGGCCACGGGGTCTTACCCACTGCGTTCTCTCTCCAGCCCCTGTGGGCTGTTCATGAGGGGGGAAATGGCCATTTTGTTAAATCCGGCAAGATTTTATAAATTTACTGAATCAAATGGCTTTCGATTAAATTTTAACTGAGTCACGCTAGGAAGCGTAACAATACCAATCCATTTCGAAGGGACTGGAACGTGCTTGTGATGGGAGCACCCCCCCGGGAAGGCTCATCTCCGCCCTGGGAAGCCACCCTGGCTCCCGTGACAGCGTCAGAGGCCGGCGCCCACCTGGGTGTAGGTGCAGTTCTTCTTCTTGCACTTGCCGCAGGTGAACAGGTCCGTCTGCGTGCCCCCCGTCTTGGCCATCTGGTGCTCCCGGATGGCCTCTTTGGTCAGGTTCTTCCGCATCTCCTTGAGCTCGTCACTGGCCATTTCCTACGGGCGGCGACAAGCAGTTAAGGCACCGTCTGCTGTGCCGACTCCGCGCATCCCAGAATTAAAATCGACCGTTCAAGCTCTCACAGTGGAAAAAGCGAGTTCTTGTCCCCACCCACCACCAACCCCGCCTCCCTCCCTCCTTCTCTCTCTCTCCTCTCTCTCTCTCTCTGTTTTGCTGCTAACACCCTCCAACTCTTCTGCGTACGATGAAGGTGTGTGGACCAAGGCTTGTATGGGAACCATGCACTCCTGCAGCAACAGGCATCTGCAGTGTCACTGCTCTCCCCACCACTGGGCCCTCGCCCCAGCCCGACGAGGGACCACGGCCTCTGCAGGGGATGTCTGGGCCCGGTTCAGCCAACAGACACACAGGAGTCGCTACGGCCATCGAGGCCAGGAAGCACGGGGGTCACTCGTAACACGAACGGAGAGAGGAGTCCATGGAAGCCCACCCTGGCCCCTCACGGGCAGAACAATCTTCAGTCTTTAAAACACGACGGCACAGCACCAGGCCCCCCGGGACACAGGAGGCCCGAGATGGGGAACAGTGCACCAGCACGTGGAAGCAGACGGACCGAGGCTCTCACTCGCCAGGGCACCGACTCGCCCTTCTGGAAACTCATCACCTACGGGGAAGGAATCCTCTTTGCTCTTCAAACCAGCGGAGAAAAACCCAAGAGTCGAAGTCTATGAGGGGAAATGCTTCGTCCCAAAGAAAGACAGCGAATCAATTCGAAGATCACAGAATCTTCGAAACCGCTCTGTGGCTCCTGCCAACGGGAGAACCGATCCGGGCAAGCAAGGGTCACGAGCGGACGAGCACCCCGGACAGGGAGGCCCCCGGGAACCTGCCCCTCAAGGGGTCAGGCTGTCAACACCCAAACCCACCATAGTCTCGGAGCGCCGAGAGCACGGCAGCGGGACGCACGCTCCTCCTGACGGCAGGCAGGAGGGAAGAGCACCGCTCCGAGAGCAGCGGACCGGGGACGGGGCGGAGGGGAGGCACCGGCAAGCAGCCAAGTCTACCCCGGCACCCCCAGGCCCACCGCAAGCGACGCCCTAGCGCAGAGCCAAGAGTGGCCTGGACACTGCCCGGCACGGGACAGCCCCTCACTCCCTGCCAAACACAGTCGTCTGTGCTCGTATGTGCTCAAATCTGTAGGATTCAATTCCAAATCACAGAAAATCTACAGGACAGCTCGGTCACATCTTTAGGAAAGACACGTCACTCTGCGGGGTGTGGAACAAGTGCACCGGTCTGTCCAACAGGTCAACGTCATTAAGAAAACAAACGAAACAAAACAAAACAAAAACCAGGAGACCGGCTCTCGGCTTCAGTAGGATTCCACCCGCAGAGGAGGATGGCGGTCTCGGCTGGGGCCCGACCCCGAGCACGGCTCAGGGGGCCCCGCACAAAACCGAATCGGCAAGACAGAACTCTACATCATTTGTTCAGATACAGCTCTTGATACAAAGTAGACATCCAATCAGGAAAATACTAGGTATTTTGGATAATACAAAAAAAAATGTCACCTTCGCTGGCTGTGGTTAAAATATAAGAAATCGTATTAAAAAAAAAAATTTAGCTTAATTTTTCTTTTGCCTTTTGGGTCACACCCGGCGATGCTCAGGGGTTCCTCCTGACTCTGCACTCAGGAATTACTCCTGGTGATGCTTGGGGGACCAGATGGGATGCCGGGGACTGGACCCGGGTCGGCCGCATGCAAGACAGACACCCTACCTGCTGTGCTATCACTCCGGCCCAAGGAAACATACTTTAAAAAAAAGTCTCACAAAATGGTCAAATTCTAGGGAGAGTGTCTGGGACTGCTTAAAAACAACTGAGGAAAAGCAGAAAAAAGGGGATAAAGAGAAAAAGGTGACAAATTCTTGAAAACAACAAGTTTAAGTTCTCTACTTGTCCAAAATATTGAATTATTTTAATATGCCTTTAAAAAATCAAAAACAACACATTTTATTACAGAGAAAGCCAAATGTATTCTCTTTGGATGCTTAATAAAACAGCACGAATCTGGAAACACTGCAGCTACTCTCCGAAAATTCCTACCTACAAGGGGCCAGGGCAATGTACAGCAGGTAGAATGACCCCTGCATGCAGCTGACCCAGGTTCAATGCCTGGCACCCCGGGTGATCCCCAGAGGCCACCAGGAGTGATCTTTGAGCACGGAGCCAGGACTGAGCCCTGAGCACTGCTGGGTGTGGCACAAAACCAAACCACAGCAAAAACATTTGATCTCCAAACAGAGCCACGAGTTTTATTTTCTGCCTCATTCCCTTATAGGAATGAAAGGAACCACAGGACCCGTTCTGTAGAATTCAACCGTGAAAAGGAATTAAAGATTACAGAGTCTGCAACGAGGAGATTCGTCTCATCGGTCAGATTCATAATAATCCACAAGTGAAAAATCACTTAGAGGCTGCCACAGAGGGGTGTGTGTGTGTGTGTGTCTGCCACAGAGGCGGGTGAAAAATCGCTTAGATTTTTTTTTTAGGCAAAGTCAAGATCATGACTATTGTGAAGGGACACAGCACTGATTTCAAAAGCATAAAGCCTTCAGCATTGGTCCAGGCCACAGGGCTAGTATCATGATGAGACCCAAGTATAAAATTAAATTTAATATACAAAAATTTGTAAAAATAAAAAACTTTCAAAAATTAAATTTGTCCAGTCTACACACACACACACACACACACACACACACACGATAGTTACTAAGAACTTATTACAAGGAAATATTTAGCACTTTATTATTTGATCAGACTACACGATTAAATCGCATTACGCACATATTACATTCTTGTATACTCACCTCTGCTGTCATCCTAGCAAATAAGTCAGGAGGAATATTCCCACACAACACATTTTTCCTTAAATTCGGGTTCTTGGCATCCTTAAGGTTGGATATCCTACTTCGTACTCTATTCTTATACTTCATGTCTGTATTCCTTATTTCTTGATATATAGGTACTAGGTCATTAAGGAAAGAGGGTTAAATAAAAAGAAATCCTATTCTGCCAAAGTCAGAACTCCTGAAACTTCAAAGCGGTCCCCCCAAACTGCTTCCAGCTTGGAGCAAGTTAACGAGACACGTCTCTGGCCGACTCCTTGATCTCTGACCACCAGTGACAGTGCTTGTCCTGGGGGCCATCTCTCCACAAGGCTCCTTCCCACCGTACACAGGTTAACACGGTTTTAAAAGTCTGTTCCGGTTCCAAGTCCGTAAGCTACCTCTCCAGCGCGACTCAGAGAACACTCTAACCAGGGCTGGACTGTCGCTGGCTCTTACTCCCCCGAACCTGACCCTAACCCCAGCAGGAAGGTTTGGTGTCCCTCCGGGCTTCTGCAAAGGGGCTGTCCTGCAGGGGTGGGCCCGAGGGGCCCTCCCGACAGGCCATCTTCTGTCTCCACCAGGACAGTGCCGGTCACCCCAACACAGCCCGAGCCCCCCAGATCCTTCCCCAGGGTGTCAGCACAACACGCCCCCTCTCCAAGTGAGCCCTGGGGCCGTGGAAACGCAGCTGAACCCTCTCGGCACACGTAACCAGCGTGCTCTCCGCCCTGACACAGCTTGGAACACAATCTACGCCGCGTGTTTTACTTTTGAGGGACCAGGAAGTAAGTAATCAAGAATAAAACACACCAACACTCCTCCCCTTTCCCGTGAGAACACCAGATTCGAGACAGAAGCGCAAAAAAGGAGAAGACTGTGAATTCTAAAAAGAAAAACGATGAACTGACAGACTACTGAAAACAACGATCAACATATACACAAAGGATATCTTCCTCGATCTGAGATCCCAACTCCTCCTCGTCGGCTCCAATGGCGATGTAGTCATCTAAAAACAGGCGCAGAGAGTTATCAAGAGGACGGACGAACATACTTGAAATTTTCAACATGTAGAAAATAAATAAATAAGTAAATCGACATTCCTAGCTCCTCAATCCCATCTGCTTCGACAATGGATCTTCTGGGTTCTGCATCTCTGGGATCTGGTCACCTGACTAGATTTCCAGCTCCCATCAGCTCTCTCCTTGGGACTCCCCGACTGTCCACAGTGCTCCTGGAGGGATGACTCGTGAGCACTCAGGAGTGAGGGGGACGCTGACCTAGCAGGCAACTCACTTCCCAGCTCCGCAAATCCCGGTGGCTCCAGCAGAGAGCAGAGCCAAGTTAGAGAAAGGACTGTCTGATTTCTCTCTGGGGACTCGGGCTCCAATGCCACGGAACTATTCATTTCAGCTGCCAAGCACGTGGACAAAGACGTTCAGGAGACCACTATGCAAATATTCAAAAGGACAGAGAAATAAAAAGGAACCAGGAAGGACAAAGAAGAGCGCAGATAAAGTACAGTAAGAAAATCAAAGCAGACGGGGTAGATAAGGAAGGAAACCAGATCTCCCTCCCTTGGGCTTAGGGGAAAAAAGGCGAACTCTTCATTAGGTGATAAACTGTTACTGTGCGTGAAGCTTTGCCAGGGAAACAAGTGGCTCAGGACTCGTCCTACAGGGTAACTCTTCACTGCAACGTCAGGGCCCCGCGTAGGTCCAGCCGTATACCCCAGTGAGCACGATCCTCGGGGACTCTCTCCCAAGGAGCTGAGGGGCCGGTGCCCTGACCTGCTCTGTGTTCAGTCCCCCAGCAACAAGGCCCAGCTAAGCAGAGACGCCTCGGGCAGGGGACGCAGAAGGCCCGGCTGTGCGCGGAAACGGCAGCCGGCGACGGAACGGCCACGCTCAACTCACCGCCTGTCCGGAGGGCCGCGGCCAGCATCTCCCGACACTTCAACCGAACCGAGTCGGACGTGCTCGGCGCCCGCGGGAACGAGGAGACGTAAGTGTCCCGGGCGTTCGTCTCGTCCTTCCTGCTGCTGACGGTGCCACTGGAGCTACTAAAATACACACACACACACACACACACACACACACACACACACCAAAAAGAAATCAGGAAACACTCACTTGAAGTAACACTGCTATTACGCTCTAAAAGCAATTCTTCGGCCAAAATAAGCGATCTTTTAAAGTGATTCTTAAATGAGGGGGGGGGAAAAAGCACATGAACTTAGAAGTTTATAGAGTGATGGTACCGTGGGGAGGGCGCTTGCCTTGCCCGCGACTGACCCAGGTTCAATTCCCAGCACCCCGTATGGTCCCCTGAACCCAGAAGGAGAGATCCCTGAGCTCGGAACCAGGAGTCAGTCCCGAGCACCACTGGGTGTGGCACCAGCCCCGCCATCATCTCAAAAACATTCAGTAGAAACAAATCTCTCATTTTTTTTTTCCTTTTGGGGTCACTCCTGGCTCTGCACTCAGGAATTCTTCCTGGCGGTGCTCGGGGGACCCTCTGGGATGCTGGGAACCGAACCCGGGTTGGCCGCGTGCCAGGCAAATGCTCTCCCCGCTGTGCTATCGCTCCAGCCCCTCTCTCACGTTTTTGAAAATCAAAGCCGCATTTCCCTTGGGGGCCTAAGAGTGAGCACAGCAGGTGAGGTGCTTGCTTACACGTGGCTGACCAAGGTTGGCACCCCAGCACCCCACATGGTCCCCAACACCGGCAGAAGGAATTCCTGAGCACGGCGCCGGGAGTGACCCCTGCGTCTTCCGGATGTAACCCCAAAACCCAAACCGAAAACATACTCTAAAAAATTGCCCCCCGATTCGCCTTTTAAGCATTAAACAGCATTCGTGGAGAAAGCGCACAGCAGAGATCTACACAACAGGGAAGGGCCTCAACTGTGAAAAAAGGCAAAGAGATGACACCAAGAATATGACAGTTCTGAACAAAAAACGGAAGAGGAAATACTTGAAAAACCCTGACCAACTGAAAAAACAGCATGGCTTCTATTCAAGACACAACTTGCAAAATGAAAACCCTATGACTCATGAAAACACAGAGAGGCCTCAGTTACTCTGCAGAAAGGGACTCAGTCAGTCAGGAGTTGAGCGACTCTGCGGAACGGGAGTGACAGGGCCGCGAGCGGGGCGTCTGCCCTGCAGCTGGCCAGCCTGGGTTCAGCCCCCCAATTGGGCCCCTGAGCACACCAAAAAAAGAAGAAAAGGAAAAAAGAACAAACAGAAGTTAAACAATCTCACACCCGAGTCCATCATTTAACTGCTTCTGATGAACTTAAGAGTCTTGCCAAAGTACTTTTTTGATTGGTAACAATTCACTTCTACTCACTAAAGCTATCGGTCACAAACTTTCTCCAAGTCTATCATTCGCCCTCCGAAGATCTGAGCTGCCCCAGGCCGTGACACCTCCCGCGTGCTCCCCACAGCACGGGACACTGTCCACCCCACCCCGTCCAACCCACCGCGAGCAGAGTGGTCACGTGCACACCGCTCACCAGAGGTGTTTCCGACTGACACCGATGCCCGCCCAGCCCCCAGTCCCGGGGACACAGGACACAGGGCTCTGCCGCCGTGCCTTCTGGGGTGGGCGAGGCCTTCCCCGTGGCGTCAGCTCAGTGGCCGAGTTCAGCAGGGTTGGAGGTGAGTGACGACGGCGCTGGGGGGTAGCACCCCCTCCGTCAGTCACGATCTACCTGCCGACTGGGTGTGGGGACAGCACACCACACCGGCAGGGCTCAGGCTGCGTTCAGAGCTGGGCTAGAGGAACCGCACGCCCAGCGGGGGAGTCAAACCCGGGCCAGCCGCCTGCAAGACAAGAGCCTGACCCTGGCCAGGAGGAGCCGCCCAAGGAAAGAACAGGACGGACTCCTCTGTGCATTCTCAGGAAGCAGATATCAACCCCCAGGGAAAAGCGAACCAAGGTCACGGTGCCACGCTCCCACTCAAGGCGTCGTGCAGTCACGTGCTTTCTGTCTGGCTGATTCGCGCCTGGGCCCCGCGTGGCATTCTCGGGGGTTGCTCCCGGTGCTGTGCTCAGGGAGCACGATTGCTGGTGTGCCCAGGAGACCAATGTGCCACGGGCCGCCCTGGACGCGGGCACTGTGGAAGACGCGTCTCCCTCGGCCCCACGTCTGACATCCTGGGGCCTCCTGCCCGAGCTAACCCGCGCTGCCTTCTCCCCCACTGGCCCCAAGTGGAGGAGCCCTCAGCCGCTCCCCAAGCCACCGAGAGCCAAGGCGACACACTCAGAGATGCTCTTCTTCAGGGGCAACTGGGTGTGGGGACAACTGCTCCCACGGGCAGGCACGTTAACAGCTGCTTACTTACAGGTCCACGTCTCAAGCACAGCACGCCGTGCTCTGGGGGACAACGGCACTTTTGTGGAGAGGTTCTACCTCAAACCTCAACTACCGAAAGCCGACAAAAATATCTGACGCCCCGCACCCCTCCTGAAATTATCAATTTGTCTGTTTCCATAATTGGTATTTACAGCATTAAATAACTTGAAAGTAACAGAACGCAAGTACTTGCAAAAATCCACAAATTCTGCCCCTTCCAAAAATATCAGAAATATTGAAGACAGGGGCTGGAGCAATAGCGCAGCGGGGAGGGCGTCTGCCTTGCACGCGGCCGACCCGGGTTCGATTCCCAGCATCCCATAGGGTCCCCTGAGCACCGCCAGGGGTGGTTCCTGAGTGCAGAGCCAGGAGTAGCCCCTGAGCACCGCCGGGTGTGACCCAAAAAGCCAAAAGACCAAAAACCAAAAAAAAAAAAAAAAAAAAAAAAAAGGGCTGGAGAGATAGCACAGCGGGTAGGGCGTTTGCCTTGCACGCGGTCGACCCGGGTTCGATTCCCAGCATCCCATATGGTCCCCTGAGCACCGCCAGGGGTAACTCCTGAGTGCAGAGCCAGGAGGAATCCCTGAGCATCGACCCAAAAAGCAAAAAAAAAAAAAAAAAGGCCAAAAGAAAAAAAAATTAAAGACAATAATATACTGACAAATCATCGCAGGTGAACACAAACTAGGGCATGCAACTAAAGAAACTGTGTGACCCTATGGAGGTGCGCCAGCCAAACGCCTGCCTCGCCCCTGCCCGACCCAGCCCGCCAGGAGTGACCCCTGAGCAGAGTCAGGAATAGAATGTGGCAGGAGCATCACCCAGTGAGGCCCAAAACAAACCAGAAAAAAAAAAGTGTTAGATGAAACTTTGGAATATTTTTTTTTCCCTTTGAAATAAAGACATCATTGGAACATTCGGTAAGAAACTAATCAAGTCTAGAGATTAGAAAGAAAAAAAAAGTCCTGTACTCATGTTAATTTCTGGACATTAATGGCTGTGTGTTGTTGTTATATGTAAGAAAACATGCACTGATGTCTTTCATCGTAGATCTTTTTTTTTCTTTTCTTTTTGGGTCACACCTGGCGATGTACAGGGGGTTCCTCCTGGCTCTGCACTCAGGAGTTAACTCCTAGTGGTGCTCAGGGGACCCTATGGGATGCTGGGAATCGAACCTGGGTTGGCTGCACGCAAGGCAAACGCCCTCCCCGCTGTGCTATCGCTCCAGCCCCTCATCCGTAGATCTTTTATGCACCAGCAAATGACTGACATCTGGCTCAAAATAAACGTGCGTCTATTCACATACACATATATATCAGCATAATCTGGGAAAGGTAGTATGTTTAACTGGGACAAGTGGGAGTTCTCTGTACAAGTTTTAAATTTTTCTAACACTCCAGAATTATCTCAAAATTTTAAATGAAAAAAAAAAAGTTATTAACTGATATTGAACCTACCATAAATTTCATCTTGTATCATCAAATTTGGCTAGTACTAATATATAAAATAACAATGCATAATATAGTAGTAGTAATTATTAAAAAATAAGTATATCAGAAAATTTGTGAAAATAACCCTAATCACCCTGCAGTGTTTAAAAAAAAAAACTACTGGGCCCCACCAATACCTTGACAAGGTGCGTGGGAAACAGCCCAGCAGAAGGGACACGCTCTGCATGCAGCCAGATGCCAGCTCAATCCCCAGACAAGGTCTCCTAAACCCCCCTGGACAGACCCCTGAGCACAGAACCAGGAGTAAGACCTGAGCACTGCCAGGTGTGACCCGATCAACGAAACAAATCAATTAAACCTGTCAATTACAGGGTACACGATTTCTTATTCACATCGTGTCTTCCTGCAAGAAACTTCAGAGTGTATGAATCACGAATTGCTTGAGTGGAAAATAGACACAGAACTTAGATTTAGGATCTTAAGGCCACGAAGGAAGGAATGCTCAAATCACGATAGTCAACATAAATTAACACCCAAGAGCAAAAGCACCTTTCTTCCCTCGCTTCAGGGCTGTTCTGTGATGTAATTGCAGCTTCTTTTTTCTTTTCTTCGGTGTCTTTATCAGTCGATGGCCCATCTGAAAATGTATGAGATTCGTGAAAAAAACTGAAGCATATGATATAAATATAAATGTACGTAACAGGCTACAGACACGACAACAGAAAGTCAAATCCAGGGCCCAAGTGACAGCACAGCAGGCAGGGAGCTTGTCTCGCAGGCAGCTGGCCCGGCTCAATCAATCCCCGGCACGCTCATCCCCTAAGCCCTGCCAGGAGCGATTCCTAAGCGAAGAGCCAGAACTAAGGCCTGAACCCAGGTGTGGGCTACAAGCAAACGAACACATCCGAGAGAACTGGTGAATGAACGAGGGCAGGCCCGGGTGGGTACGAGGGGCTCCAAGACCACGGCAGGGGCCCAGGTGGGTACGAGGGCCCCGAGACCGCGGCAGGGGACTGCAGGCACCGGTGGAGAATGTGGTGTTGAAACATTCGCGTGTGTGAAACCCCACGATTTAGGATCGTGAATCAGGACGCTTCTGATTTGGGGAGGAATCCTAAAGTTTCCACAAGCAAATGATGTCCGTGCAGTTATTCTCCTAGCGCTGGTGAGCAGAGAGGCACTCTGACTCAAGTCTGGAGCGCCAAGGAGGTTCGGTCTGGCTAACTTCCAGAAGGCGACCACCCTCCGGGCGATCAGAGCGAGGCCTTTCCCTCTGACTACTACGAAGGCGCTGCTCACGGCTCGCCTATGAGCAAAAGGAGAAAAACGGGCAGCCTCCAAATACTTGAATAAGCCAGAACATCACAGACGCAAGCCGAAGAGAGGCCCGCCGTACCTAGTAGCTTCTTCCAGGACTTGATGAGGGACTTGGCTAGCGACGTCACCTCTTCGTCCGTGCTCTGCTTGCGGATGGCGTTCACCGACATCCCGATCCTTGTGGACTGCAATGCAACAACAAAACTCGGTGCAAACGATTTTCTTTAGACAGCTTATCAGTTTGTTTGCCCTTCCCAGACTCCCATCTCCATTTTAGAGTAGGGAAGAACCTTTATAGAAAGTCTTTTTTTTTTTTTTTTTGCTTTTTCGAGGGGGTCACACTCAGCAATGCTCAGAGATTACTCTTGGCTCTGCGCTCAGGAATCACTCCTGGCGGCGCTCAGGGGACCATATGGGATACTGGGAGTCAAACCCGGGTTGACCATGTGCAAGGCAAGCGGCCTCCCTGCTGTACTGTGGCTCCAGCGCCCCCCTTCGTAGAAATTCTTACGACGGTGTTCCGTCGTCTTAAGACAAAGATATCTTCAAATCAATACTTACCACTAAGAACTAATGTGCTGTCCCAAGAAGGTGTTTGGGGGCTGGCTCGGTTAACACAGCAGGGAGGGTGTTTGCTTTGGATGCAGTAAGCCCAGGTTCGGTTCCCAGCATCCCACAGGGTCCCCCGAGCACCACCAGGAGTAATTCCTGAGTGCAGAGCCAGGAGGAACCCCTGTGCTCCCCTCCTCCCCCCCCAAAAAAAATCTGTTTAACACAGAAGGCTTGATTTGTAATCCCTCAGATAAAAGGATTTAACGTCCCCAGAGCGAGATGCAATCTCATGCATCTTCTTTTAAAGAAATATTATGTGAACACTCTGGTAGCAACTTATTGGTGATAAGCTGCACAAAACAAATTATGGTGGGTATAGATGAGAAATCCAGGAAGAAAGGTGAGCAGTGAAGAATAAGACCGGTCAGATCGGGAAAAAACTGAAGTTACTGGCTTGACTCTAACCCGAGAGGAGGCAAAGGAGAAGCCACCTTTTCCGGGGAGATTTCTTCTCCCACCACCAACCCTGAAGGTTCAGCATTAACCTCGTCAAAGAAGGAAACACTGTTCCAGAATCTCACCTGGGAGGCTGCTGATTTATTTTATTATTTCAGGAGAAAGAAAAAACACCCTAGCAATGTTTCACATGGTAGGACAATATCAGCCCTCCACCCCCACCCCCCCAAAAAAAATCCACTGGTACTGAAGATGCTTCAGTATTTCTGACAATCACTCAAAGCTCATGGTATGAACTACACATACCTGTAATAACTCCAGGGTCATAGGAATATTCTTAAGCTCCTTCAACAAATCCAACGCTCCGGCCTATAAAATAAAATTTCACATTGAATTTCGCAAGTTATAAAGTCAAATCTAATCTATACTGTCCTGTTGACAGCTCACAGAGGCTGACTTATCTAGGTCAGAACAATGCTGGGTGACAGCAACAGTTGGAAACAATCGTTCTGGACAGGAACTTGGGTGTTGAGAGCAGACACAGGGACCCGCCTGATAACCTTTCAGTATCCATACGGCAAGGGGGCGGGGGGGGGGGCGTCGGGAGGGAGGATGAAGAAAAGAACCCACCACGGAGGCAGGCAGGGGCAGGAGGGAGCTGGGACCACTGGAGGTGGGGAACGTGCACCGGCGGAGGGGCGGGGGTCGGAACACTGTATGACCAAAACCCAATCACGAACAACTTTCTAACTGCGTCTATCACTGTGATTCGATCAAGAATTTGAAATAATAAAAATAGTACGAGGGGCTGGAGCCATAGCACAGCGGGTAGGGCATTTGCCTTGCACACAGACGACCCAGGTTCGATTCCCAGCATCCCATATGGTCCCCGAGCACTGCCAGGAGTAATTCCTGAGTGCATGAGCCAGGAGTAACTCCTGTGCCTCGCCAGATGTGACCCAAAAAAGAAAAAAAAAAAGTACGAAATAGAGAGAGGGAGAGAGGGAGAGAGAGGGAGAGAGTAACTGATGGTCATTGATGGCACAGCACTTCCTGAATCCCCGGGAGCCCAGAGCACCACTAGTGACGGCCCCCAAATAACGGTTCACACGAAGCTCACAGACCTACCCACTGCCGTTTTCCGTCTAGAAATCATGGAAAATAAGCTCGAAGAGGGACGGGAAAGGCGACAGCGCCGCCTGCAGTTTGCAGCGGGTATTTCGGCCACACTGTAAGGAGTTTTTCGTAGCACTGTAGCACGGTCCTCCCGTTGTTCGTCGAGTTGCTCGAGCGGGCCCAGTAACGTCTCCATTGGAGACTTTGTTGTTACTGTGTTTGGCATATCGAATACGTCACGGGGAGCTTGCCAGGCTCTGCTGTGGGGGCGAGATACTCTCGGTAGCTGGCCGGGCTCTCCCAGAGGGGCGGAGGAATCGAACCCGGGTCGGCCGGGCCGGCTGCGTGCAAGGCTGTGGCTCCAGACCAGAACCTGACTTCCATTCACTTCACGCACTACGTTGGGACACGTCATCACCACAACTGCCGCTAATAAAAAACACACCCTCCAGCCGCGGCTGCCTGAGCACCTGGTACTTTCGTCTTCGAAGGGAAAGTCCTGTCTCCCCTCTTGCACACAAATACCCAAGTCAGGCAAATACGTTCCACCCGGGGGCAAAGCAAATCGCCAAGGGTCTCTGAAGCGATTTCGCAGGCAGAACCCAGACTTCACTGCTTTTGGGGGCAGAGGGCGGCGTGCCCCCCCCCCCCGAGGTGAAACCAAAGACCCCCCACCACCACCACCAAGAGGCCCCTGGGCCCTGGAGCCTGACCAGCCCCGAGACTCGGCCACCAGCTGCCCCGAGAAGGCCAGCGCAGTCGCTGCCGCCCTCCTGCGTCGCCCAGGAGTGTCCTGCGTCTGTCCCTCCCGCGTCTGACCCCTGGCCGGCTCTGCGCCCTGCACGGCCGGACCGTGCGGCCGCTCTCCTCCCGAGGCTCTGCGAACATTCGGTGTGTCCGGGTGCGAGGGGCATTTCCAGAGCCCCGGGGAGCCGCTCACTGGGGAGCGTCAGGGGGCGAGTCCGACCCCCACCATGACCCCATGCGCTCGGCCTGGCCGTCTGCAGGCCGACCTGACTTGGCAGTTGCTCCACTGGGGAGCGAGCCCCCGGGCCCCTCCATGGCAGACGGGGCCAGGGAGGGAGGAGGAAGCGCGCACAGAGCGGGGGCAGGGGCTTGGTGGGACCTCAGGGCCCCCCCAAAGCAAAGCACAAGCCGAGAGCGGGCCCTGAGCACTGCAGCGGGAGCCTGGGGAAAACCACCCGTGAGTAAGAGGGAGCCCCCGACGACAGGGGTGTGCGGCCAGCCCGTCCCACCACGACGCGGAGACAGCGAGGTGGGGAGGGCGCCCGCCCCACGCATGGCCAGGCCATGGTCCATCCGGCACCCCGAGGGTCCCGCGGGCCCGCAGGAGTACTCGCTGAGCACCACCACATGCGACCCCCCCCCGCAAAAAAAAAAAGAACACGAGTAAGAGGCCGAGGGGCTCCTGACTAATGTGCAGCCCAGTGAGAGCAGCACACGCCAGGAAAAAGACCCAAGAGAAATTCCCAGAGCACGTCCAGCACGGAGGACCCACAGAAAGACAAGAACTCTGGGATCGCTGGATTCACGGTACACAGAAACCTTCCACGGAGGCGGGGGAAACGGGCCATTGGCGGAAGGGACCGTGCACGATGGACGGTGCTGGACCGCTGGATGGCTGAAACCCAGCCATGAACAGCTTTGTAACTGTGAAAAAAGTAAAATAAAACATTTATACACTTAAAAAAAAGAAGTTCCCACTGGGGACAGGAGGAAGCGGGTCTAGCCGGGAAGGGCATTTCTGGCACTTCCTCTGCCTCTACTCCTGACACCCCAGAATCCGGGAGCACCCCCCCAACTAAAGCTGGCACCAACGGTGACTTCAAACAAAACTTCAAAAATAAATCAAATCAAAGCGACATCAGGCTTGGCTAATAAGACCATGAAAACGCTTCCTCTGGTAACAGAAACATTTCGACTTAGCCAGGCACCTCTAAATACTTCAGTTGAAAGGAGGTTAGGAAACAGATTAGATTAACAAATTTTGCTTGTTCGGGGCCACCCCGATGCTGCTCGGGGGTCACTCGTGCGTGCAAAGCGCGAAAGGGGCCCCACGGGCGCCAGCACTGACCCGGGCCAGCCGCACACAGGCGCCTCCCGGCTGTTCCATCACTCCAGCCGTAATTAATAATGAACTTTCATGAGTCACAACTTGAAGGACTTCTTCCGATGCTAAAATCCTACAGGACAGAAGCAACAGTACCACAGTGGGGCACTCGCCGTGCACAGCCAACCCGTGCCTGACCCCTGCAGGCCTTGGGGTCCCCACGCCCCCCTGGACTGAGCCCCGACACCGCTGGGTGTGGCCCGCCCCCACATCAGCTCTGGGGGGGGGAATAATTCTATAAATTGATTTTATGTGGGAGTAACTGATACTGGTGAAATATAGCTGTTAGAGGAAAAAAAAACCATACTTTAAATGTACTGCCACTCAGTAATTTCGACAAGCCTGACAGTTTCAAAAACGTGAATGCAGTCTACACCGAAAGTCCTAAATCCAGAAGCCTCGGAAAGGCACAGAAGCAAACTCACCGAGACCTCGCCTCAACGCCATACAGCTCGGTCCACTGTCCGTGTGTTAAATGCCTGGGCTCTGAAAACTGCCCCCATCTCCTCGGGAGATGATGAAATACACGTGTACTGACTGCACTGTCACCGTCACTGTCCTCCCGTTGTTCATCGATGTGCTCGAGGGGCCCAGTAACGTCCATTGTGACACTTGTTACTGTGTCTGGCTGATCGAATATGTCCGGGGAGCTTGCCAGGCTTTGCCGTGCGGGCGAGATACTCTCGGTATAGCTTGCCGAACTCTCGGAGCGGGGTGGAGGAATCAAACCCAGGTCAGCCGCATGCAAGGCAAACGCCCTACCCGCTGTGCTGTCTTTGTAAAATATAAAGAATTTGGAATTCTAAAACACCAGACTCCAAAAGTTCTGACCTAGAGACTGTGGGCCTGAGTGCGATCTTGAGGACAATTTCCTCCTACCTAGGTCTTCATGGTCACTCTGGTCCATTCGGACCCGGGTCGGTAAGAAAGGGGACAGAGAACCACAGCTTCCGGAGGTTCCTTAGGGAACAAGGTCCCGGAGCAGAGAGAGAAGCCAGCAGGCAGAGCACGTGCTTGCAACCGGCCGGCCTGGGTGTGAACCTGGCGCACCACACAGGGCCCCAAGCCCCTCCGAGCACTGTGGCATACGGCCCCCAAACGGAAACTCAAACCTCCCCCCAAAATACTCTTAATAAAACAAGGTCAGGCCAGAGTGGTAGTGTAGCAGAGGGCGTTTGCCTCGCACGCGGCCGACCCGGGTTGATCCCCGGCATCCCATAGGGTCCCCCGAGCACCGCCAGGGGTAATTCCTGAGTGCAGAGCCAGGAGGAACCACTGTGCATTGCCACATGTGACCCAAAAATTTTTCAAGATAAAAATTGATAAATAAAAGAAGGTCCTGGGGGCTGAAGAGGGAGGACAACCGGTCGACATTTGCCTCGCGCGTACCCAGCGGGACCCCCTGCACCCCGATTCCTGAGCCCGGCCAGGAGCGATGCCGAAGAACAGAGCCAGACACCCGGGGCTGCCACGAACAGCCCAAAACAAAGCAAAAATAAACCCAGTTTTCCTCGAGCACCAGATGGCTAGGGTTTCTTCCCCCGAGCAGAAGAGCCAGACTGGCACTCGTTTCATCACACTCTTCCTCTGTGCTAAAAACTGATGCCAGAGAAAGACTGGGGAAAAGCAAAAGTTAAATGTCATGAACGGGACAAAATCAGGATCTTTTTCATTCACAGCTCCGTGTGTGCGCGAAGACAAATTCTATTTCCATCGGGGTGATTTCGGTCCGTCTCGTCTGAGGGGACATCTGTGCTGAGGTTGACTTCTCCGCCCTGGTGACAGGCTGGGGCTCCCCGGATGGTTTCCTGAGCCCCACCCGGAGTGATGGCTAAGCACCGGGCCAGGAGGAAGCCCCGGGCACCACCCACCCGGTGGCGCGGCCCCAAAACCAAACAGCAAAGAGAACCAATGATCCACGTGGAAACACGGCTTAGAAAAAGTAGGGGAGGGCCAGAGCAGTGGGACAGCCGGCAGGGCGCTCGCCTGGTACGCCGGCCCGGGTTCGATCCCCGGGATCCCACACGGTCCCCTGTGCCCCGCCAAGACTTACTCCTGAGCGCAGAGCCAGGAGTCCCCCCTGCGCACTGCCTAGCGTGCGCCCCCATCCCAAGCCTTCAGGGACTGGAGAGAGCACAGCGGGGAAAGCAGAGTCCTGCAGGCAGCCAGCCTCGGGTCCATCCCGCGCACGGCAAACGGGACGCCCCAGCACCCGCCCGGGGCCGGGAGTGGACCCCGAGCACTGCAGGGTGGGAACCAAAAATCAGGAAAGCGCCTCCATGAACCTCGCGACAGATAATGACTACGCGCCAAGAACCGGGTTCAACTTTACTTTTTCGTGGCCTCCTTCCCTTGTTTCAAAGCAGCCCGGCAGAAGCAGATAATCTCCTAATCCCCATTTTACAGACGAGGAAACTCCGAGTCTAGATAAATTTAGAAGCCTGCGCCAAGTCCCAGGGCGGCTAACTAGGAGAGGCGGGAGAGCCTGTCGGCTAGCCTCTCCCCCCTCTGCAAGCCCCCAGGCCCGCGTCTGCTTGGTGCTAAGGATAAAGCCACCGGCGAGACCGGGAGGCTGAACTCTGACTTCAGGGAATTTAAAACAAACAAGAATACTTGAATCTGGGATAGGAGCAATAGCACAGCAGGAAGGGCGTTTGCCTTGCATGCAGCAGACCCGGGTTTGATTCTTCTCAGCATCCCATATGGTCCCCTGAGCACCGCCAGGAGTAATTCCTGAGTGCAGAGCCAGGAGTGACCCCTGTGCATCGCCGGGTGGGACCCAAAAAGAAAAAAGAAAAAAAAACCCCACAAACTCAGTAGAGAAGGAACAGCCAGGCGCAGGGCCGAGGCCCTCAGCCTCTGCCCTCCAGCCTTCCCGGGGCGCCCTCCCCGGCGGGAAGCCACCCTCTCGCTCCGGCACCACCTGCCTGGAAGGCTCCGTGTGAGGGATTGCAGCAGCCGCCGAGGACAATGATGCAAGAGGAAGAAAGCGCCCACAGTTCACGCGCCCCGTCACAGCACGTTCACAGCACGGGCAGGAAAACAAACAACTCCCGGGCCGCTGCTGGCTCCCCCCGCTGAACCTGGGCGGAAAGGAGCGCTTTCCCCGAAGCATCCAAACCCGTGAGCCCCCGGAATGCTCAAGATCACAGTCGAGGCCCCCCCCCCCCCCCCAGAGCAGCCGGACAGTGGGCGGGTGGCTGCTTTGCATGCGGCTGACCCAGGTTCGAGTCCAGGCACCACCTCTTCTGAGCCTGCCAGGCATGACCCCTGAGAGCAGAGCCAGCAGGAAGCCCTGAGCACCGCTGGGGGTGCCCCCCCCTTAAAAAATATTATCCCATTAGCATACAACTCTCCACCTCCACTTAGCTCTGGATTCAAACCCACGCCCCCAGTTTCCTAACTATGAGACAGACCACCTCGACACAGCCACACGTACAAGCTCTGCCACCAAGCCGGGGACCCCTGTCCCAATCCATGCCACCCCACAGGGCACGAGAAGAGGGCAAAAAGAGCACTTCTTGGGAACAACGCTATCTGTCCTTTGCAGTCAAGGTCCTTCAGACAATAAAGAAACTTCCCAAGTTTCCACATTTATTTCCTGCCTGCCTGGGTGAGCCTCAGACACCAAGAGCGTGCAGCAAGGTGGCTGAATGGGGGGCGGGCACAGCAGGGCGCCACAGGGTCCCCCACCCACCAGGAGCGACCCTGAGAGCCTGAGCACTGCCAGTGGAGGCAACAGAACACGGCAAAACCAGAAGAGTCACAGCAGGTCTCAAAAGGCTGCGTGAGAGGCCAGAGACAGGAGCCGGGTCGGGAAGTCCTGGTCCGCCAAGGCGGTGTTCCCAGACAGCACCGGGCAGCACCCCAGGGCCAGGGACCTCAGTGCAGCTCAAACACCTCCAAGAAAACACTCACTCAGGGGGCTGGAGCGACAGCACAGCAGGGGAGGTGTTTGCCTTGCACGCGGTCGACCCGGGTTCAATTCCCAGCATCCCATCGGGTCCCCCGGGCACTGCCAGGAGTGATTCCTGAGCACTGAGCAGAGAGCCAGGAGGAACCCCTGTGCATCACCAGGTGTGACCCAAAAAGCAAAACATTTAAAAAAGAAAACGCTCAATCAGAACCGGCTTCACTGTCATCTATTAGGTACGGCGGAGACTGTCAACTCTGACTGATCACCACTGCTCTTCACCAAAAGCAGAAAGGAAAAAAAGCAAGAGATGTCATTTTGCGGGAGCCAGGGAGATGGTCTCACAGGCCGGGCGCAAACTCTGACAGCAGGGTCCCCGGGGGGTTCTCCAAGCCACAGCAGGTGAGGCCCCCAAAGCACAATCTAGAAAACTGGAATTCTGAAAGCAATGTTCCAAAGCAATGAAGAAGACCCCCAGACAGAAAAAGTGTGCAAACCCCACGGGGGGGGGGGGGGGGGGGGGGGGCAAGTGTCTAGTATTCCAAACAGAACTTTATTTTGCTTTTTGGGTTCCACCCTGCAAGGCTCAGGGGTCGCTCCCGGCGCTGAGCTCAGGAATCCCTCCTGGGATCTGCCCACAGTGGGAGAAGCATGCTGAGAGTAGACTCTAGACCCAACAGGATTGTCACCCGTTGCCTCTTTTGCAAACCACAGGACCCAAAAGGAGAGAGAGAACAAAAGGGAATGCCTTGCCACAGAGGTAGGGTGGGGGGGGGGGGTGGGGGTTGGGAGGGGTGCTGGGACCCGTGGTGGTGGGAAATGGGCACTGGTGGAGGGGTGGGTACTTGATCATTGTATAATCGAAACCCAAGCACAAAACTTTGTAAGTCTACAACTGTACCTCATGGTGTTTCACTAATAAAAAAATGCAAAAAAGAAAGGGGATCCCTCCTGGCGGTGCTGGGGCGGGGGGACCCGGGGCCGAACCCAGGTCGGCTGCAAGCCAGGCCAAGGCAGCCAGTCCCGAACTGGACCTCGCCCAGCGCGGGTCGCGGGGGTCGCGGGGGTCGCGGGCCCAGCGGAACCAGAGCCGCGGGGACCAGGGCGCGGGAGGGGCGGGCAGCGGGGACCGCGCGCTGCGGCCTAGGCGAGGCTCGGGGTGCTCGGGGCGAGGATGCTCGGGCTGGGGTGCTCGGCGGGGACAGCCGGTGGCCCCCGCCCGCCCCGGGCGCGACCCCCGGGGCCGTGTCCCCGCCTCCCCCGCCCCCACCCCAGCCCCGCCGGCCCCTTTCCCCGCAGCGTCTGTCCCGCGCGCCCGCCCGCCCGCCCGCGGGGAGCTGGGCCGGGGGCGGGCAGGGCTGCGGGGGGCGGCGGAGGGGCCGAGGGGCCGGCGACCCCCGAGCGGGACTGGGCTGAGCCCGAGCCACGCCCCCGCACGGCCCCGCACGGCCCCGCACCCCGCGCGCGCTCGGCCCCGCACCCCGCACTCCCCGTCCCGCACGCCCGGCCCGGCCCGAGAGTCCGGCCCGCACTGCCCACCACGCACGGCCCACCACGCACGGCCCGCGGGTCCGGTCCCGGGTCCGGTCCCGGCCCGGCCCGGCCCGACCCGGCCCGCAGACGCGCGTGCCGAGGCCCCGCGCGCGCCCGCGCCCCCGCCCCGCCCGCCGCGCCCCCCCGCGCGCCCCGCGCCCGCACCGCGTTCTTCTTCTGCACCATGCGGTCCATCTTGCGGGCGATGCGCACCACCTCGTCGTCCATGGCCGCCCTGGGCGCCGCGAGCCCCGGCCCGCGCCTACGCCGTCCCCGGAGCCCGGCCCGGCCGCGGCACAGCGACAGCAGCGGCGACAGCGGCGGCGGCGGCGGCGGCGGCGGCGCGACTCCGCCCCCGGCCCGGCGCGGCCAGCCGACCGCCGAGCCAATCGCCGACGGCGCGGGGCGGGACCCCCGCCCGCGGGAGCCAATCGCAGCGCCCGCAGGGCGGAACCCCCCCCGCCCCCGGGAGCCAATCGCAGCTCGCGCAGGGCGGAACCCCGCCCGGCGCGCGCGCCCCAGGCACGACCAGCGCATCGCAGAGCTCGCGGGGCGGAACCCTCCCCCGGGAGCCAATCGCAGGTCTCGCAGAGCCCGCCTCCCCGCCCCCGGCAGCCAATCGCAGGTCTCGCACGGCCAATCCGGCCCTGTGTGCGCGCGCGCGCGCGCGCGCATCCCCAGGGGCAACCAGCCAATCGCAGATCTCGCAGAGCGGAACCCCCCCTCCCCCGGCCTCCCACGGCGCGCGCGTCCCAGGAGCCAATCGCTGGTCTCGCAGGGCGGGCTCGGCCCGGCGCGCGCGTTCCAGGAACCAATCGCAAGGCTCCTCCGCCCGGCGCGCGCGTCCCAGGAACCAATCGCAGGGCTCGCAGGGCTTCCTCCCCCACCCTCCTCCCGCCGGGCGCGCGTCCCAGGCGCTACCAACAGATCGCAGAGCCCCGCGCGCCCCGCCCCGTGTGCCCTGGGGCGGGAGGCGGCGCTGGGCCCGCGGGGTGCACGACCTGGGACCTGGGTGGGTGCATCGGGCTGGGTGCATTGGGTCGCCCCGGGCGCTTCCTCGGTGTCCCTCCAGTGGGGTTGGTGTGCGCGTGTGGGCCGCGCCCCGCAGTGCTCAGGGCCTCCTCCTAGCTCCGGGCTCGGGGACCACCGGCCTAGCGATGCTCTGGGCCTGCGGTGCACGGCGGGACCACCTGCTGGGGTCCTTGGGTAGCCTCGGGGTCGTGCATCGCGCACGTGCATGCATGTTGCATCCCACTGTGCGGCTGCGTAGCACTTGCACGGACTGCGTTTCCTCCCATGTGCAGACCCACATACAGATTTTTATTGCTGATTTAGGGCACAGGTTTTCAGTGTTGCCACCTGTACGCACCACACACTTAATTCTTTCTCCAGGTCCAGCTGGAGGAGCTTGCTAGATGACCCTGGTCCTTGATTTTGAATACCTGACAATATGCCTTTGATGTTTTGTTATTATTATTATTATTATTTATTTTCACTGTCCACCGTTGTTTTCATTGATTTCCTTGAGCAGCAACGTCTGCATCCGTCCTAGCCCTGAGGTTTTAGCAAGTGCCACATTGGAGGCTCTTTCAGGGTTAGGGGAATGAGACCCATCGTTGTCGGCATATCGAATATGCCACGGGGAGCTTGCCAGACTTCACCATGGGGGCAGGATACGCTCAGTAGCCTGCCGGGTTCTCTGAGAGCGAGAACTAGACCATAAGAGGCCGGGCGCTTCCGGGAGTTTGGTTTTATAGTCTCTGGATCTTGGCCGTTGATGGGATGAAATTGACGTGTAATAAATTTAAAATGAATCGGTGTGTAATCCCATCAATTTATTTTTATTATTTTGCGAGAGGGGTTGGGGCCATACTCCGCGGTGACTTTGGAGGCCCTGGTTTCACAGTGCAGGTCTTGGTAGGGTGGCATGCATACCGCCTCTACCTGACTCGCTTTCGGGTCTGTTGCCTCAGGGGTCCGGTTCATCCCACCTCCCCACTCCACCCCTGTCAGTTCAGTCGTATAGGCCAGTTTGCAGGGTCTGTTGCATTTGGCCACTTATTAGTGCCCTACCACATGTTTTTTTTTTTTTTTTGGTTTAGTTGTTGTTTTGCTTTTTTGGTTAGATTATTCCCACAGTCACTGTACATACTGCAGATGCAGAGCAGAACTAAATAGATACTTGTTTTCAGCTGAAGTTAGTGGGGGAAACACATTTTTCCCCATTATTTCATGTAAAATGTTTTTCTTTATATTCTGGATGCTACATAATTATGGGCTGGAGCGATAGCACAGCAGGTAGGGTGTTTGCCTTGTACACAGCCAACCAGGGTTCGATTCCTCTGCCCCTCTCGGAGAGCCCAGCAAGCTACTGAGAGTATGTCACCCGCACGACAAAGCCTGGCAAGCTCCCCGTGGCGTATTCGATATGCCAAAAACAGTAACAACACGTCTCACAATTCATTGTGAGACGTTATTGGTGCCTGCTCAAGCAAATCGATGAACAACGGGAGGACTGTGCTTTTTTGGTCATACCTGGCATTGCACAGGGGTTCCTTCTGACTCTGCACTCAGGAATTGCACTCAGCAATTACTCCAGGCAGTGCTTGGGGGACCCTATGGGATGCTGGGAATCGAACCCGGGTCGGCCGCGTGCAAGGCAAACATCCTCCCCACTGTGCTATGGCTCCAGCCCCGCCACGTGTCTGTATACCCACATCTGAGAGAGGTCATTCTGCATCTGCTCCTTTCCCCTGACGACACTCAGAACGACACAGTCCCGAGCCTCCGTGCAGCAGCAAATCTCAGGATTTCGTTTTTTAATTCCAGCCTAGTGGTATTCCATTGTGTCTATGAGTGTAGTTTCTTTAGTGTTCCACCGTGTGTATGTGCCTGAGTTCTCTAGTACCCCCTGGTGTGTGTGTCCTGCAGTTTCTTTGCGAGACCATCTGTCCTTTGACACCGGGCCAACAGGCTAGACAGCTGCTGTGCTATTTCCCACCACCAGTGCTCCTCATAGCCTTGTCAGCGCTTGTGCCTTCCTGGTTTTTGTTTCAGCCATCGCAACGGGTGTGGAGCGATTTAAATGTCACTTCCCTCATGTCTCCTGGGACTGACCATTGTTGTTCACCTTTACGCTTTGTGTTTCTGGGGTAAACAGTTGTCTGATTCCTGTACCCAGTTTTCAAGAGGTGATCTTTTTGTTGTGTGTTTCAGGATTCCTGCACGCTACCAAGATAGATACTGGGGTCCTGTCAGATATGGGGCAGAGGGAGAGACGGGTGTCTGGGGCCTCACCCCGTGATGCTCAGGGGTCTCTCCTGGCTGTGCTGGGATGCCGGAGACCAAACCCAGGTGTGTTGCATGCCAGCAAGTGTCCTCCTGGTCACACAAACTCTCAAGCCACCACCCCCCGGGCTGTTTCTGGCCCTGTGCTCAGAGGTGGCCCCCGACAGGCCGCTGCCAGGGATCCGACCAGCCTGAGCTGCGGGGAAGGCCCAGAGCCTCAGCCCTGCACGCCCCCAGCTCCAGGTCTGATCTGCAAACATCCTTCCCATCCTTTTGGGGTGGGGGGGTCTTTTCACTCATGTGAGGGTGATCTTTGGCCCAAAGTGGGGAGACAGTGATCTTCGATGCAAAGTGGGAAGAACTCTGTGTCACCCACACCCGGTGTAGCTGCGTTCTTTTGTGGCTTGTGTTTTGATGTCTGTCTAAGGGACCACTGCCAAACGGGAGCTATTGACTTTTTTCAAACGTGAGGCATGCCAGTCACTAAGATGGAATGTCCAGGCTTGTCCCGCAAGCGCACGCTCTCCCTCGAACACGTATCTCACCCGTTCCTCTTTGCTTGTTTGCTCTCTGGAGAAGCCTCTGTTCTCCCTTGAACCAACACTCCACCCCCTCACCCCCCTCCTCTCGCACCTTCAGCAAGTTTCATTCCATAAAAACTATTGCTTCACCAAAAAAAATTTTTTTTTTAAATAAAAGTTGATTCATCAATTTTTATCTACCTTAGTTCGTTTCACAATACTTTGTGGTTTTCATTGTATAAGTCTTATTTTGCTTCTTTTTGTTTAGGGGGATGGAGACGTGGGATGGCAGAAGCAGGATTCAGGGGCCCTGCCCCACGTCCACGGTCCAGTGTAGAAATCCTTTACCTCTAAGGTTAAATCCATTCGTAGAATTTGTAGATTCTGTTGAAAATGGAGCTACTGTCATCTCCTCCTCCGCCTCCTCTTCATCTCCTTTTTCTTTGGCTTTTTGGGTCACACCTGGCAATGCTCAGGGGTTACTGCTGGCTCTGCACTCAGGAATCACCGCTGGTGGTGCTCGGGGGACCTATGAGGTGCCAGGGATTGAACCCAGGTCGGCCACGTGCAAGGCAAACGCCCTGCCCACTGCCCTATCCCTTCAGCCCCGAAAATGGAACTGTTTTCTCAATTTCCTTTTCCAATGGCTCATCACTAGTGTTTGCAAATGTATTTGTGGGTTGACCTCGTGTCCCATGAATTTGTGAGGTTATTCCATTGATGGTTTATTTGGGGGCGGGGCAGTTCTTTGGGATTTCCTAAAGTTTTTTTTTTTTTTTTTTTTTTTTGCTTTTCAGGTCACACCCGGCGATGCACAGGGGTTACTCCTGGCTCTTGCACTCAGGAATTACTCCTGGTGGTGCTCAGGGGACCCTATGGGATGCTGGGAATCGAACTCGGGTCGGCCGCATGCAAGGCAAACGCCCTACCCACTGTGCTATCTCTCCAGCCCCTCCTAAAGTATTTTATTCCTTTATTATTTTTTTTCAATTTGAATGCCTTCTCCCTTGTTCCTTTAATGACACCAGCTAGCACCTCAGTAGAACGTTGGCAGGAATCCTTCCAGGACTGTGAATCTTAGTTTCGTGTCTTTCATTACTGAGTTTGAGGTTGGCTGAAACTTGGGGGGCCTGGAGGGGGGTGTTTTCTTGGGGGGACGCCCCCTGCGGTGCTCACGGATCATCCCTGAATGACCTGACCTCCCCTCCCCACCTTCTTCTCCCCTAAATTTCCCCTCTCCTCCCTTTTTTCCCAGAAGGCCTCTCACCTCCCAGGCAAGTGCCCTTCCGTGAAGGTACATCTTCCTTCATTTTTTGAGTTTATTTTTTGTATTAAGGGGCCGCGGCTGACCAAACTGTTCACAGCCGCCTTTCAGGGCTGCCTGTCCCAACCCCACCCCCACCCCCAGTGTGACCCTCCCTCCACCAGTGTCCCCAGGCTCCCTCCCACCCCCTTGACAGGTACATTATTATTCGTTAATTTGTT